CCATCTTCAATTTTCCATCTGGAGTTGAATTATTCAATGTCACCACCAGAGTATCCCAGCTCTCTGGTAGCGAGCTAAACAACAGCAATGCCTGCAATTCTTCATCAATTTTCATACCAGCCTTTGACAGCTGATTCACAATACCTTTGTAGATGTTGAGGTGTTCAATCTTGCTCATGTCGTCCTTGTATTCAAGCTTAACAAGTCGGCGAACCAGATGTGCTTTGTTCCTGGGAGTCTTCTTCTGAATCATGGACTCTAATTTCGTCCACAACTCATACGCATTCGTGAACTCGGACACGTGATCAAAGAGGCTTTTATCAATATATTTCCTAATCGTGGATACAGCCTTCCGACTCAGGATCTCCCACTCCTTATCTGTCTTGCCTGCCGGTCTCTCATCAAGGGTAATGGGCTCATGCAGATCTTTGCAGTAGAGATGATCTTCCATCATCGGTCTCCAATAAGTGAAGTTGTATGCGGTCAACTTGAACATATGTCCATCATGAGTTATGCCATTGGTCTCCATCTCGTCTCCCTCAGAACCCGTCGAACTCGGGCTCTGATACCATTGTTGGGAAATATCGGTTCCCTCAAGCTCGGCTCAAGGGCCTTTGCGGAAGTCAGTCAATGAGATCCTCGATCTCAGATCTCGGCAATACCTCGTCCTGAATTTCACCAGGTCGGGCAGCGCAGCGGAAAAATCAAAATGAAAAACACAGGAGAGAGAGAAGGAGAGAGAGAGAGAACACAAGCAATTTTTAACGTGGGAAAACATTCTCCAATGAAGAAGTAAAAACTCACGGGACCTAGTTCAGATCAAAAATCCACTATGAAAGTAATGGTTACAAATATCAAGATTCACCAATGTGGTGGTTAACTCAACCTCTCCAACAATTGTGACAATCAAACCTCCCTAGAGATGTTTCACTCAAACTCTCTCTAGAGATCTCTCAAATGCAAAGCATAAAGCTTTGCTCAAACAATTTTCTCTCAAATATATTTCAAATAAAATTCTCTCATCTGTCTAGCCTCCACCCACAACTAATGAGTATATATAGAGGAGGTGGAAATTAGGGTTAGGGTTTTTAGGAAACCCCTCAAATGGGCTTGGACTTAGCATTGAAGGAGGAAGCCCAACAAAAGCATATTGCAAAAGAGGTCGTTGAAAGAAAAGAAAAAAAAAGGAACAGTTTGAGGGTACTAATAAATATAAGTATATAACCATCTTAACAATTATGGATAATTCATTAGATCATTTCACCTTCCTGCAGTGAGTTTTAGAACCATTGGAAACAGTCTTCCTTTTCCAACAAATGGATTCTGTAGTAGGCCAAAGAGTTGACATGTTGGACTCCAAGCCAACAAAGCCAGCCCCAGCAACTGGTGCTGTGAAAGTTCCAACAGACATTTTACACAAGTGGGGTGTTGAAAGGAAGATTGGTTAACAAAGAGAGGACGGAGGATATACAACTATGAATGACTTAGACCAAAGTTTGATCTTGAAGAAGGAAGAATAGTTGGACAAAAGGACGAAAGGAATAGGTAGGGATAGAGTTGTCAAAAAGGGCTCAAGCCCTAGGGCCAGCCCATGTAGCCCAATGTTAAGCCCTATAAAATTTTAGCCCTCTATATAATGGGGCCATTTTAACCACATCCTCTTAAAGCCCTCTCATTATAAGGTTAGGTTAAGGTTGACCCCAGGCTACAATATTCAACCCAATTTACATAAATATGAATCATTTTTAAATGTGACATATCTATCCTTAGCATTAAAATTTGAAAATTACATAAATATGAATTATTTTTAAATGTGACATTATTAAAAAAGTGTCAAATACTGATAGAATTTATCGACAAAAAATATTTTGTCGAAAATAGGGACGAAATTTTTGACAAAAATCACATTACGTCAAAAATAGAGACGAAACAAGATTTAGCCATAATCACTGACATAAATTTTTTCAGAAAAGAAGTCAGTCAAAATTCTTAATAGAATCTAAATTCTGTTGAAACTTTCAACAGAAATATTTTCGTCAAATTTTTCAAGGAAAAATATTTCTGTCAAAAATTTTCGATAGAAAACAATTCTGTAAAAAAATTTGTCGGAAAAAATCTTCGCCAATTTTTTTTACGGAAAACATTTCCATCAAAATTTTAAACGAAACACATTTTCAGTGAATTTTCGACGAAATTTTTTTTTGTAACAATTTGTGACGAAATTTATTTTTAAATAAATTGTTGACAGAAATTTTTTTTTGTCAAAATTCTTTACGAAATCTAAATTTCTTCAAAATATTTGACAAAAAAACATATTTGTCAAAATTTTCGACGAAAAATATTTCCCTTTAAATTTCTAACGAAACACATTCCTTTGAAATTTTTTTGTACAAAGTTCTGACGAAAAATATTTCTGTAAAAAATTTTGACGAAAAAAAAATTCGTCAAAATTCTTTACAGAATCTAAATTCCGTCAAAAGTTTTCGACGAAAATATTTTCGTCGTACTTTTTGACGAAAAAAATTTCCGTCAAAATTTTCTACGAAACACATTTTCATCAAAAAAATTTGACGGAAAATATTTTCAATAAATTTTTTTGATAAAAAATATTTCTATCAAAATTTTCAACGGAACACATTTCCGTCAAAATCGACGAAAATTATTTCTGTAAAAAAATTCGACGAAAAAATATTTCGTCAAAATTCTTTATGAAATCTAAATTTCGTCGAAAGTTTCACAAAACATTTTCCTCAAAATTTTTGAAAAAATATTTCCGTCGAAATTTTCATTGGGACACATTTTCATCGAAAATTTTGGACGGAAAAAATTTCGTCAAAATTTTTGACGGAATTCTGTTTTCCGTCAAAACTTTTGGTGGAATTTTTTTATCGAAAATATTTAAAAAATCATTTTCGTCAAAACTTTTGACAGAAACTAAATTCGTTCGAAAATTTTGACAAAAAAATTATTTTTGTAAAAAAATTTATCGGATAAAATTTCGTCGCCTTTCAATGAAAAATATTCCAATGAAAAAAAAATTTTGAAGAAATTTTTTGTCGTTTGCAACGTAGATTTTTTGTAAAAAATATGATCTTTTTAGTAGTGTAAAAAATACATAAAAAATTTAGAAGACCCGCGGGCTGGCCCTAACCCATAGGGCTTTGGCCTGTGTGGATCTATATGATTGTGGGCTTTTTGGCCCTAACCCACTTGGGCTAGGGCTAAATGGGTCGGGCTAGCCCATTTTGACAGCTCTAAATGTAGGGATCTATTTATCTTATGTTGCATGAGATAATTATCTCATACAATAGAAACAAAATAGTGGGATCCATCACTTTTCCAAAAAAAGAAAAAAAGAACCAAATGGTGGTAGCATGGGAGCTAAGTAAGTGTGGTGAGAGCATGTGTTCGAATCTGTGTGTGTAAACAAAAATCTATTTACTAAAAAAAATTATTTGAGAAGCTGTTATTAATATCTTTAAATGCATAATAATAAAATATTATAATTATGATATATTAAAATTATATTAAGAAAAAATTATTAATATAATTAACTGAACAGAAGAATATAATTAGAGCACATCCTTCATAATATGGGCGAGATAATATACACGAAGAATAGAGCACATCCTTGCCAAAACCCATTTAAAAACGATTTTTTTTTTGACAAAACTGAGAAATGGTAAACACAAATAATTAACTGAACATAGATGACTTAGATTTTGTGGCTTATTTTAATTAGTTAGTTTAGTGATGGGTGTCAAGTTAATGTAATTTATTTTAGGGTAAGTTTGGATAGAGGAGAATGGAGGAAAACTAAAGGGAGGGAAAGGTTTTATGCAAATCTCTCACCCTTGTTTGAGAGTTTTTATTTATTTTATTTTATTTTTATAATGAAGCGAGGAAAATGAGGAATTTTCATGTAATCCTCAAAACCCCTTCGTTATTAATTTGTCTGAACATTTTAAAGTTTCTTCTATTTGGAGAATCTTAAATATTCAAACGCAGGAAGAAAACTTATTGCTTAATCTCCCTCACTTTTTCCTTTCCCTTCCCTCCTGTTTTCCAAATGGATAATTGCACTGATACAATTGACAAGCCACTGTTTTAAAATCAAAGTTAGATTATGACAAATTTTTATAATAAAAAAATTCATTTGTTAAATTACACATCAGACATGCTTAGGATCTGTTTGGTTTATTATAAAAGAATTAATTAGAAAAATAATTTGTATTTCCGAAAGATATTTTAAAAATCAATTTAAAAAAAATATTTTTATTTAAATGAAATAAAACAAAATCACTTTAGAGATACAATCATAAAAAAAAGTTAACACTCAAAAACTGTTAGTGAAATAAAATTAGATAAGGCAAAATGTGTAATTTTATCATTAAAGGTGAAAGCAACCAAGGGAAGAATCAATTAGGAGTGAAAAGACTCTTAGCTATATTTGGAAGCAAACGAGATCAACTGTGCTAAATTCAATTCTTTCGAGAACCCAAGAATTTAAAGCAAACAAGCACTTATAAACATGCAATATGCTTTTTGGACTCATGGTATCTACCACCCACATAATATTGTTATTCTATACAAAATCAGCTTTCTCAAGTAGTTGTAAAAGTTTTTGATTAAAAGAGTAAATTTGCACCATCAGTCCATCTACAAAGATCTCACCCAATATAAAAGTCACAAATTACTTTCTCAAAACCAAAATAAAAACACTCGCCACCACTCAAAAAAAAAAAAAAACTTTGTTGCGTCCAGTTATTCAAAGTTTTAACACTCGTCATTTTTTAAAACCCATTTAAAAACGAATTTTTTTTGACAAAACTGAAATATGGTAAGCCCAAAGAATAGAGCACATCAGCAATAAATTAAACATAATAAATCTTTAAGAAATTTAAAATAAACTTTTTTTTTGTTTTTGAACTCATCCTTCATAAACTCATCGCTAATGAAAAAAGTGCAAAAAATCTTGGGTGTTATTAATCTTATGTTGCATAAGATAGGTATCTTGTGTGGGTAAAACAAAGTTGTGTACCCACAATTTTAAGAAAAAGAAAAAGAAAAAATGGGCACAAGATTCCATGTGTGTACAATATAAGATAGTTGTCTTATGTTGCATAAGACAACTATTTCCCAAAAATCTTTTGCATCAATATGGTCAAGATAGTAAAAACTACCTCCCAAAGTTCACTCGAGTCATGGTTTATTCCCTACAAAACAGTAGAGCACTAGTATAACTAAATTACAATAACAAATCTGTTTACAAAAATGGATCATGTAATTAATAATTTGGAATGGATGGTAATTTTCCAGACTTTTCAATTTTCATACGTCATAATCATAACCTCCATCACCATCATCTACCTCCAATTCAGCATCATCAAATGTAGTCATAAGGGTGAGGAAAACAACAACAGCAACCATCTGTGCTACCACAAAATATTTGGCCCTCTTTTTAAAGGTTTTCTCCTCCTTTGTTTTCTCCCTTTTTGGTTTGCTCTTAGGCTTTGAACCTAGTATATATAAATATAAAAATAAAAAAGAAAGAACATGAGTTTAAAATATCAAATATATATTTTTACATATTATTATGTACCACAAATGGAAACTACTTCACCATAAAAGGTAATGTTATAACCTAAAATCTCACATATTTTTCTATATTTTAAATTGCTCAATATGTTCAGAAGTAAGGTTTTCTGGTCCTATTATCCACATGAAGAAATTGTAAAGACATGTCAAAACTTAGAATGCAACTACTATGAGCAATTATTTCTAATTTTGTTATGCAAAGCATATGATGGAGTAACAGGGTCACAAATCTAAGCTAAGGATTCATTAATCAAGTTTCACCTCAGCTACTACACAAGTAGCTTAACAACCGTGATATGCATGAGAAAAAAATATTGATTCCAGTTACAGGTAATATTTTGCACATAGTAATTAATATAAATTATAAAATTTCAATAGAAATGTAAAAATTAAAAAATTATGTCCTTTTTCACTGATATGATAGATGTTTGAATTAATTCTAAATTTGAAAAAAATGAATAATTAACTTACTATTGTTCAAAGGTATAAGATTTATTTTATGATTAACATGAAATCAAATTACTTATAACTAAAACTTGAATTTAATTTAAGTTTTAAAAGATTAGAACATATAAAAATAGATTTAGTTAATTGATGACCAACATTAACAAGTATGAATATGGAAGGAAAATAATTAATGTATGACTGACATGTCCCATTGGCTTCACTTGCATGAGCTAACTTTCATATAATAGTATGATGACAACAACTAATTTACCAGGAGATTCCACATCAAGAAATGCTGAAAGATTAACTTTAAAGTAAAGTACCTTTTGGGTCCTCAACAAAAATCATGAGATCCAATTTAATCTCTTAGAAAAAAAAAGTCAATTTGTGGTCCTTCTGAAATTCAAAATAGACCTATATTAGTCCTTCTGAGGAACTAACGTGGATCTTCTTTGAATTTAAGAGGGACCACAAGTTGACTTTTTTTTTCTAATTAATTAAAATGGGCCCCGTGATTTTTGTTGAAGACCCAAAAGGTACTGTACTCTTAACTTTATTTCATTGGTTGATTACCCCCAACCCATAACATCTCAGTCACTAGAAACCTACAAATTTCAGAATACTCCAGTCCATATCTACAATTTTGCGGGAAAAGACCTATAAATGCTATTATCCTGGCAATATTATATTAGGCCAGCATATTTCCAGCCACAGTTTCCAAACAAAAATTATTAGCTAAACCCTAAACCCCCAAAAAAAAAAAAAATTACACTAGTTACCGTTGGTTGTCAAGGCAATCCCATAAAAAAGAAAAAAGAAAAAAGAAAATTGTGCATTTACTAAATCCTAAAAATATCTTACTTGATGTTGAATGACTTCTGGAAGTCGATGATGATGTATCTGTATGAAATTGTGGGCCAGAGGAAGGAGATGTACCAGCTTCTATAAGTTCTGTCTTACATTGTTGAACATATCTAACTAAATTAGCATGTTCCAAAAACTTGGTCCGCAGCATTGAAGATTCCTGATGGTACATAAATGCAAGAACCAGAGTTAATATTTTTTTCTCAAAAGAATGTCTTAAGTAATTTTAGTAAGTAATGGCTGATACACAAACTACATGTAACACAGGAGCTAAAAAAATCAAAACATATATCTATGATCTTAATTAAGAGGAAAAGCCTGGAATCTCATGGGTAGAAGAATACAAAAGCAACAAAGTGCAGAGGATTACAAGGCTTTTGTGCCAGAGTAAACCAAATATGAGTTTCCTCGTTCAGAAGTATTATCCAAAATCAGATTATGCTTAAAAAGTAAAATTTCTCAATAAGAAGAAAACTAGGAATGACAAATCATCAATCTCCCATTTGCTCAGTCATCTCATTCGAAATTGCAAATTTCCCATCCAGTGCTCCACATTGCAATTAATTTTTTTATTTCAAGTGACACTGTCATTCATTCTCTTATATTTCTTATACCACAGACAAGTATTCAAGAATAAATACCTCCAAATGGAGCTGAAGACAGCCCAAAATATCTCTTAGTTTAGCAGGTCTAGGAAGAATGACGAAATGGAGCTGATGACAGCCCAAAATATCTTAGTTTAGCAGGTATAGAAAGAATGGTGAAATCGAGGTTGGCAGGCAGATTGTCGGTCTATTGCCTAGTGTTGAGCTGCTGCTCTTAGCCAGCATTACTGTTCTCTCTTTAAGATAAAAACTTTTAATTCCTTCAGAACAATCTTAGTCAATTGTCCCTCATTAAATGCCAAATTTGGCAGCTAAATATTTGGAAACACACTTCTTATATATCAACATCAACAACAACAACACCTTTATCCCAAATTAATTGGGGTTGGTGGTAGATGAACCCAAATAAAAGATACGAAAGTGTTGAAAAAAGATAACAAGAATAAAAAGAAAAAGAAATAAACAAAATAATAATATTTTATATATAAATATATAAATATAAAAGTGATAAAAGAAGGGGAAAAGAAGAAAAGGGGGGGGGGGGAGATGAAGAGGAAAAAGGACTAAAAAGGGACCATCTGGAAAATAGGAATAACAACGGGTCTAACCCTCCACCATGCATATAGATATTCTCCATTTCGTTCTAAGGCACACCGTCCGCCAATCTATATCCCAATCCATTAAGTCTTGCTTTACTACCTTTCCCCAAGTAAGTTTCGGTCTACCTTTACCTTTTTTTGTGTTGAGCTCTTGGCAACAAACTTTTGTTCTTACGGGAGCATCCAGGGGCCTTCTCATTACGTGCCCAAACCACCTCAGTCTATATTCTTTCATCTTTTCAGCCACCGGTAGTACTCCTACCTTTCGTCGAATATCTTCATTTCTCATCTTATCCATCCTCGTATAACCACACATCCATCTTAACATCCTCATCTCTGCTACTCCCATTTTATGCTCATGTTGCCTATGTGCTGGCCAACATTCAGCTCCATATAGCATTGTAGGTCTTACTGCTGTTCTATAGAATTTTCCTTTTAACTTGAGGGGAATTTTGTGGTCATACAAAAACCCAGATGCACTACGCCATTTCATCCACCCTGTTCTGATTCTATGATTTACATCCTCGTATAACCACACTTCTTATACATATATTCTCTAAATGGATTCCCTGAAATAATCCCTTTTCTGTACAGTGTACACATCTCTCTTTCACCAAACTATTAGCTAATATGCTTTATTGATTCAGTCAACAGAGTGCCAAAACCAACACTTAATTCATATTCTGAGAATCTGACCAACTTCATGATAGTTCCCAGGATAAAAAATGTAACCGTAACTATCTAAGTCCACCTTTGATTGATGGGTATAACACAATCAAGCATTAGAGTATCGTTAATTATCTTAAAACAAACATCAGAACTACAGTTGATTGATAGTCATACTTACAGGTAAAGCTTGAAGAACAACTAGTCCATGTGCAAGAAAAATAGCATCCAAGCTTGATGGCCTGAATAAACCAAAAAAAGCATGTGAATACATCAGCAGGAGTTCTGAGTCAATACTTGCTCTCAAAATGAAAAAGAAACCAAAATGTCCACATCTATTGCTCTAAAATAAAAAAACTTAACAAATTCACAAATAACTCAGCAAGAGGAGTCAGTCACCTGTTTTCAAATAAGTAGTTCTGTTCACCTAGCCAATTTGACAGCGAATCATATGCAGAGTTTGCTCTCCCATAAATCTGTCCATCACTAATAACTATACATAAATACCAAATCAAAGAGAAAATCATATAAAGCATTAAAACTATCATGCACAGGATAAAAAAATGAAATTACTGAACATAAGTTAAGAAGAGAAACGGACCTCTTCTTTTTTTACAACAGCATTGTCATTAGTTATCCCATGTTTCTGCTTTACCCAATGAGCTTTCTTCCAAAACAGAACCTTCCGTATGGGCCACGGAAGATCAGAATAATAGATACTATAAGCAGAGGAACCTTCACATCCCACCCAGAGTTCATAGTCAAGTGCATCTGCAAGCCAAGTTGTGAGCATTGCTTTGGTTGATATCCAATCAGGAAGTGTAGAAACCCCACTGTCTAAATCAACTACGCCAATATCTTTCTTCAAGCACTCAATGATGCTATCCTTCTCGTTACTATATGCCACATAGTCACCAACCTCGAAGTAAGGAATTTGATCTAAACAAAACACCACATGCCATAGAAAATAGAACAAGTATTAGTATTGAAAAAAAAAATCCATACCCATAAGCAATCAAAGAGAAAAAAGGAAACTTTATGAGATGAGAATGATAACCCAGAAGCCTCAAACACACAAAAAAGAAGAACAGAGAAATTAAGGAATATGAGGTGTTACCAGAATGAGGGTGGTTTAGGTGGAAGTCCAAGTGGAAGGGAATTTGAGCGAACTTGAGATAGATGTAAGCAGAGAGGCATTGAGGGCAACCGGTTGGGAGGCCAAAGCAGGGTTTTCTCACCACCAGAGTATTCACTTCAGCCATGCATCCACAGAGATAATCAATCGTCTTCAACAATTCCTCAGAGGTTTAGGGTTTATGCGATTGGGTCTTATTTCTTGCGTTGCATTCTTGTGATTTTATTTTGGTAAATGGGCCTGTTATTTCCGGAACTCCTTAATGGTCATCAGCCCAGCCCAAAACAAAAACTAACAGCAACTTCAACTATTTCAGTACACAAGTAGACTCACGTCCGTTTAGATGATCTTGTAAAATTAAAATAAAGCATTATGCTTTATTTATTTTAGAAGTGTTTTTTATAAAAATTAAAGTTATTTAAATTTAAAAAATATTTAATTTTTATTTAAAAAAATTGATTTTTGACTTCTATTTTTTTTAGAAGTTAAATTTTTAGCTTCCAAAACAAACAATTTTTTTTGTAACTTCTATTTTTTTTTTAAAACAGATATCTAAACGAATTTTATTGTAGAATTGTTTTTTTGTGTGAAAAAAAGGCAATTTTTGGCTAAGAAAAAACTCATCCGGGCCCTTTGAGGTTAAGTGGAAAAGCATCACAATTCATTAGTTCTATTGTAAAACATTTATATGTTCCAAAAAGAAAAATTATGTGAATAAATATTTGGTTTCTCAATATATCTTTTTTATTTTTGTAATTATCACTTTAATGATAAATTGAAGTGTAATATTTCCCTATTCATAGTTTGAGTCCTACATAAAATAATTTATAAAAAATGAGATGATTAATGTGATAATAAAATTTTTATTATCATATTGTAGAGTAATCAATGAAATGAATGTTTTCTGTAATTTTTTTTAAACTTAAAAGTAAAAACATAAAACAGATATAACTTAAATATGTTCTCTAAATTTTATTCTAAAAACTAAAAAACAAATTTAATTTTTAGGTTATTTTTACAAAACAAGCATTATTAAACATATTTTTTTATTTTTTAGTTCTAAAAAGTAAAAAATTATTTTTGAAAATAAAATTTAAACAAGCCCATATGATACTTCCCTTTGTTTTTTTCTTACTTCTCTCTGTATTTTATAATAGGTTTAAGAGAGTAGTAAATTTAAAAAAAAAATTAAGAATGATTTTAAATTCAAATTTTGTAAATAGAAAAAGTAAATCTTGAGATAGCTTAATTATCCTAAGGTTTAGAAGAGTAATTTTCCGCACTCTACATATTCATTTATTTAAATCATTATATATATTATATTATATTATATATATATACTAAGAGAATAAACATTATTGGAAAGTTTGATGATGTGTCACTCCCTCCTTCAATTTCACCAATGTGTTCACACTTGAGAAAATTTAAAAACTTTCTTCTTTTGGAATTTTTTTTAATCGAAAATTAATATTAAATAAATAATAATAAAAAATCAAAATCCGAAAATAAGGAAATTGTGGGAGACATCTAATTAATGCCCACTATCATTTCTACATTGGAATTGTAAGGTTCTTAATTGAAAATTATTGGAAAATGAAAAGTCTATTAATGATAATGAAAATTATTCTACCTAAACAAAACTTTTCAGTTCCTCCCATCTCTCAATTATTCTTATAAATACCAAATTTCAAAATGGCATCTTTATTTTTCTCTCATAGCGCCTTTCTCAACTCTAATTCTTCACCCAAACCCATCATTTCCTTTCCCCTCATCCACTCTCATTTTATTTCTCATTTTCTTGAACATTAGTCATGGACTCGATTACCTCTCTCCAGTCAAAAAAGAAGTAAGACAGAATCTTTAGCGAAGAAGATCCACTCTCATTCTTAATATCGTGAAAGGTTTCATCTCAATACTTTATGATGCTGGTCTAGGAATAACCATGTTCAGTCTAGGTACTTCTCTCGAGCCTTATAATTTTTTAATTTTTTTTCCTTCCTTTCATTTTAATTCTGCCATTGTCCTAAAAAAATTTATGTTAATTATTATGAGAACCATTTATAATTATATATACTAAGAGAATAAACATCATTGGAAAGTTTGATGATGTGTCACTCCCTCCTTCAATTTCACCAATGTGTTCACACTTGAGAAAATTTAAAAACTTTCTTCTTTTGGAATTTTTTTTAATCGAAAATTAATATTAAATAAATAATAATAAAAAATCAAAATCCGAAAATAAGGAATTTGTGGGAGACATCTAATTAATGCCCACTATCATTTCTACATTGGAATTGTAAGGTTCTTAATTGAAAATTATTGGAAAATGAAAAGTCTATTAATGATAATGAAAATTATTCTACCTAAACAAAACTTTTCAGTTCCTCCCATCTCTCAATTATTTTTATAAATACCAAATTTTAAAATGGCATCTTTATTTTTCTCTCATAGCGCCTTTCTCAACTCTAATTCTTCACCCAAACCCATCATTTCCTTTCCCCTCATCCACTCTCATTTTATTTCTCATTTTCTTGAACATTAGTCATGGACTCGATTACCTCTCTCCAGTCAAAAAAGAAGTAAGACAGAATCTTTAGCGAAGAAGATCCACTCTCATTCTTAATATTGTGAAAGGTTTCATCTCAATACTTTATGATGCTGGTCTAGGAATAACCATGTTCAGTCTAGGTACTTCTCTTGAGCCTTATAATTTTTTAATTTTTTTTCCTTCCTTTCATTTTAATTCTGCCATTGTCCTAAAAAAATTTATGTTAATTATTATGAGAACCATTTATAATAAAATGCTTTCTTAAATAGGTATGTTCATGGCATTACAACCCAAGATCATTGCCTGTGGAAAATCTGTGGCAGCATTTTCTATGGTTGTTAGGTTCTTGACAGGTCCAACTGTAATTGCAGCAACCTCAATAGGCACCAGTATGCGTGAAGTTCTTTTACATGTTGCAATTGTTCAGGTGAAATATATATGAAACCCACTTCATCATTTAATCAAAGTCCAATGTCGTTGTTCTTAGTTATTTATGATAATAAGTTTAATTTTTGCAGGCTGCCCTTCCCCAGTGTATCGTTCCCTTTGTGTTTGCCAAAGAATACAATCTCCATGCAAATATACTCAGTACTGCGTAAGTGTCTTTTGTAAATCTGTTTTTAATAAAATGAAATAGATGCAAGTGATTGTGTGGACTTATGGCATATAAAATAAATTCTAAAAGAGACTTTACAAATTGTGTAGGGTTATATTTGGAATGCTGGTTGCATTGCCCATAACAATACTCTACTATCTTGGGAAGCAAAAGCAATAGAAAAGAAGTATGATGCTGTCACTGTACGTAAATCCAAGTCAAGCTCAAGATATTGGGTTTTAGAGAAGGAAAGAGAAATTATATATAGTGTATTAGATTTGTTCAAAGTTTCCAGCTCACTCTTCATTCTCTCTATTTGTTAATGGAAAAATCTTTTAGTTAGGTAGGAAAGCAAGAGATTACAACCTATGAGGCGCGAGAGAGTCTTCAGTGATCAATATTTTTATTATATCATTATATATACTAAGGGAATAAATAACATTGGAAAGTTTGATGATGTGTCACTCCCTCCTTCAATTTCACCAATGTGTTCACACTTGAGAAATGTTTGAAAAGTTTCTTTTTTTGGTAATTTTTTTTAATCAAAGATTAATATTAAATAAATAATAATAAAATAAATCAAAATTCGAAATTAAGGAATTAGTGGGAGACATCTAATTAATGCCCCTCTATCATTTCTACATTGGAATTGTAAGGTTCTTAATTGAAAATTATTGGAAAATGAAAAGTCTATTAATGATATTGAAAATTATCCTACCTAAACAAAACTTTTCAATTCCTCCCATCTCTCAATTATTCTTATAAATACCAAATTCCAAAATGACATCCTCATAAAGATGAATAAAAATGAGTTGCCAATCTGATGAATAAAAAAGAGAAATCGTTAATCCTAAGATGAATGAGATGTGAATGGAATCCTCATAAAGATGGGAATGTTCATAATGATAAGATGAAAAACGAAAAATAATTATACAAGATATAGAATTTAAAATCACAGATGAATGAAAGATATTTTATTTTAATTTGAAATTTAAAATATTTTTTTTTGGAGTTACCCAACTCTAATTACCTCTTTGAGGCGAGTTGGCTCCCTCTGGTATCCCCACAAGCTTCGACTCTTTGAGCCGGCTATGGGACTAATCCGGAGTGCGGGGGTCAGTGATGGCTAAAGGTTCAACCCCCTCCCAAAAAATGCATTCAGCGGGAATCGAACACATATCCAACCACACTAACTCAGCGCCAAGGAACCAACTGAGCTGCACCCATTTAAACTAAATAGTTAGTGCGAAAAGAGTTTAGCATTAATTAGTGACAAACAAGTGTATTAATATCCTACTTCTTTTTTAAAATTCGAAATTTGAAGTTAACATAGGTGGGAAAAAGGGTTTAACATCTTTTAGCAGGAGCAGCTGTATTAAATTTCCATCTATTATCTTCATAAAAAAAAAATCCATCTATTATATACTTAAAAGGAGAACCAAAAAAACTGATGTGTCAAGCTCTCATGCAGTTTCAGCTTTGTGTTCACACTTAAATATCAATTTAAAAAAAATTACATAATAAGTTTTTAATTAAATAAAAAATCAAAATTAAGAAATTAGTGGGAGACATCTAATTAATGACACACTATCATTTTTACATTTGAACTGTAAGGTTTTTAATTGTTGTATTGGAAGATGGAATGTTCTTTACTAATGTTACTTGAAAATAGAAAACTCATCATTTGATGTTTTCTTATAACCTTCAAATCATTCAGACGCTTAATCTTCTACCTCCTGTGTGTTCTCACTTGCTTGCCAATTTTGAAAATAAATAAATAACTAAAAATTAAGTTTAAAGTAAATTAAATTTCAAAATTAAAGTGTTAGTGGCAGACATCAAATTAATGTACTACTATCATTTTTATATTGGAATTGTAAGGTTTTTAATTATTCTATTGGAAGGTGAAAGGTGCATTACCAATGTTACTTGAAAATGAAAAATCCATCATTTCATGGAGAATATACACAACCTTCTATGCATGTTTTCCACTACTTTAAGTATGGAAAATTGTTAAATATATTAATAATATTTGTTATTACGTCTATTGGGTGGGAAAATATTTAATATTTCAAAATTCAAACTTTTTAAATTAGAATTTTTGACTTGATAGGTGGAAATGAATTCCGCATTAATGTTTCTGCTGCGGAAAAAATATATAATAAAATAAAATAAAATATAATAAATTATAGATTAAACAAAAAATTATTTAAATTATTTAAAAAAAAATATGTATAGTTGATAAAAAATAATTTAAATTTGAAATTTAAATGAAAAAATTAGAAATGACATATTTATACCTTAAATAAATTAAAAATTTAACATTAAAAAATAGGGAAATTCAATTCTTATGTTACAGGAATCGAAAATTATTTTCCTACTGACTCATGGAGAAGCGTGCCATACTTTTTATGCTTTTTTTTTCTTCAATAAGCAATGGGTCCCACGAATAAGTATGTCTGCAGGAATATGAAATTTTATGATGCAACAGGAGAGACTGAATCCCTAAAAACTAATACAAAAAGATAATTAAAACATTTCCACACAAGTATTTTTTTAACATAAATGTTTTAAATATATATGTATAACCAATATTAAAAAATATAAAAATTACAAATCAAAAGAGAAAAATTAAATTTTTCAAAAACATGTCTAATTAATACAAAAATATTCGATTATATTAAAAACAATTCAATTCAATTCACCAAACATTTGATTTAGTAGAATACTTTTTGTATCAACTCATATTTGTTCATTATAAATGTGTTACAGATATAAAAAAAAATATGCACAATGAAATACAAAAGAATTTAAATAAAAAAATGACATTTATCATTATGTAAAAAATGATAATAAAATTTAATCACTATAAAATATGACTTTTAATTTAATATATAAGAAAGAAATTAAACTTTCATTCTTTTGATGTAAGAGTAAAAAAAAAAATACAATTTCCTATGTCGTAAATGAAAACTAGAAATTATTAATTGAAGAATGTGCACATCCTTCTATGCATGTTTTTCACTACTTTGTGTATGGAAAATTATTAAACCTATTAATAATATTAATTATTATGTCTATTGGGTGGAAAAAATATTTAATATTTAAAATTCAAAGTTTTAAATTTTAAATTTTGAACTTGATAAGTGAAAAAAGAGTTCAACATTTAACGTTTATATAATGGGAAAAAGATATATATATATATATATATATATATATATATATATATATATATATATATATATATATAAGAAATTTTAATTTTAATATAAAATTATAGATTAAACAAAAATTATATTTAAAATTATATAATATATGTATAGTTGATAAAAAATAATTTAAAATTTAAATTTAAATAAAAAAATAAGAAATGATGAATTTATACTTTAAAATAAAATTTATTAAATTTTTTTTTGGTAAATAATTTATTAAAATTTTAACTTAAAAACGTAATACAAAAAGAGAAAAAAAGTTCGTACAAGTAATTTTTTTTAAAAATATTGTAATAAATGAAAGTTCATCTCTCAGATAAAATTTAAAAACCTAGACGCAACTATAAGAACATTTTTTGTGGATAAATATAAAAATCTATTGCATGCTGATAGTTAGAGGTGGAAAACTGGGCTCGGCCCGGAGGACCGGCCTACTAACACCTTTTTATAATTAAATTAAAATTTCATCCTTCTTCTTTTATAATAAAATTCTTAAATCTAATTTTAATTTTTGTAAATAAAAATTTGTAAAATTCAAAATACTAATGACACAAATTCTTGCAAAAAAGTAATTATTTACATAAAATGCTGATAGTTAAAGGTTGCAAACTGGGCTTGGCCCAGAGGGCCTTCCCGCCCAGTCCGCCATCATGTTTTTATAATTAATTTAAAATTCCAATATTCTTTTTTTATAAATAATTCCTAATTCAGATTTCAATTTTTGTAAATACAAATTTATAAAATTCCAAATACTAACGACACAAATCATTGCAAAAAAATAATTATTTATTATTATTTTGTAAATCTAATTGTAATAAATGAAAGTTAATCTCTGAGATAAAATATAAAAACCTAGATGCAACTATAAGAGCCTTTTGTGTGGATAAATATAAAAAAATATTAAATGCTAATAGTTAGAGGTGACAAACTGTGCCACCAACACATTTTTATAATTAAATTAAAATTTCATCCTTCTTTTATATAATGATATAAAACGTTGATAATTAGAGGTGGCAAAATGGGCTCGGCTCGGAGGGCCAGCCTACCCCGCCCGCGAACACATTTCCCCCGCTTATATCTACTGTCTAACATACCTGTCTTTGTATGGTTAAGATAATAAGATTTATTGCTGTAAATATTTCAGAAACAAATATTTAAATAAAATGAATAATCATATTGTGATAAATAAAAGTTCATCTAAACAAAATGAGCAATCAGCGCAATATTTAATTTTTTTCTTCATGTATATTAATTGATTTTATTTTGTAGCAAATTTTGTGTACGGTTGAATCAATAAGACGGGACATATTGAATAATAATGCAAAGTAGAAGGTTCATTGGTGGATATATTTGAAGACTGAATTATTGTGTAAATAACTATATTTAATTTGAATAATAATCAATGCCTCTGATTGTTTGAGGTTGATATTTACAAAGTTCTGTGTGAATGTTGTAACCTCTTAAAGTTCAAAAATATTAAGACATTTTTTTTTCCAGATAACTCTCAAATAATAGGTTTGCTTTTTTATTTTTTGTTCCTTTATGTTTATACCTCTACCATAATACCATTCAGAGCTTGATAGCAAGATGAAAATGTTAGACTTACCGGTGCGATGATTAACCAACGACGGCGGCAACAATTTTGTTTTTTTTTCTCCGGGCATCGCACGGGTAATTTACTAGTTAGAAATAAGTAAGATTTACAAGACATTAACAATAGAAAAGTTAACAATTTTTTTTTCGGTAAGCAGCAAAATAAAATTTTAATCAGTGATGCATTGAATATTTAATACTATTTTTTTTCTTTCTAAAATAGACCATTCAACTCATTTCTGATTAATCGTGATTAAGAATAACTTTCAAAAATCAAAGTTTTAGACCAAAAGAAAAGCCTTACAACTCAAAGGTTTATAGACTCAATCATTTCTACAACGAAATTCTATAATATTAAAATGAAATGGTTTACTTTCCTAATATTCGAATGTTTTCTAAAATGATGATCAGCATTATTGGTTAGATAAGTTTCATGCTTTAAATATCCCGTTGGATTTTTTTCTCTCTTCGGTTAACTATTTTGTCACCAATAATTTATTATATAATTCCAAATTTGAAATATTACATTGATGGGAGGTATTTATCATCATATACTATATTTCATACGTGGATGTAATTGCTTTATTGCATGTGTTTAAGCATAATTAGATTATAAGGTAATCTTTTGATGGAAATTAAGGCTACAAGTCACAAGGATATTAGATTTATAACATCTCTGAAATTTGAACCATTAATAGTCTCAAGGTTGAAGATGATGTTATCTAAAGTTTTGAAACATCTGTGCAAGACGAAAATGATCCTATCTTATTTGCTATGTAGATGTTGGGAGTTATTAATCTTATTTCTCATAAGATAAGTATTTTATGTGAGAGAAATAAAATTGTGGGCCCACAATATTTATAAAAAAAGGAAAAATAAAAGAAAAAATAGGCACAATATCCTATGCATGCAACATAAGACAACTAACTTATGTGATATAAGATACTATTTTTCATATATATTATTGCTTTATTACATGTCTTTAAGCTTTTTTAGATTATACGGTAACCTTTTGATTGAAATTAAGGTTAGAAATAAGGGGGTTAGATTTCTAGTCTACGCATTTATTTGATGTGGGATGTGAAATTCTCGAATTGAAATAGGATATCTACAAGATTCAGAAGAAAACGATTCTTCTTCGTTTAGGGTGGTGGATGAAGATACATTATACTATAAGATGAGATAATGGTGAACAATATGGTGTTAATTATCTTTGAGAAAAGCGAGAGTGATCTGTTGCCTTGCTAACAGTTGTGCAAGTAATGTGCGCAAGTATACGCGACAACAAGTAATATAGGGCTGTTATAGTCCCAGTTATCGTTCCCACAAGGATCGTTGGCGTTTTGAAATGACTAAAATTTGTAATTGCTTAAAACTGAGTTACTATTTGAAAATAGAAGAAATAGAATTGTAAAGTAAAAAATAATCTAGAATGGACCTAAAACACTACTGTTCACTTTTCTTTTAAAATTTTCTGAATTACTTTCCTAAGTTATAAAATAAGAAGTAAGAATGAAGCAACTTAAATGACAGATGTGACAAAATTTTTGAAAACAGAATAGAGATTGAAATATGAAATAACAAAGGAAATTGGAAAATCTGAGTTGATAAAGAGGTTTAAAAAGGTGGGTTGAGTTCTGGCTCTCCTTCCCCACAGTGCTTGAAAATTAATTTGATTAACAAAAAGCTCATCCTAAGATTCTCAGTTAACAGAACTGTATTGTTAATTTTAATCTCTTAAAAATTATTTTATCCCAAAGTTGCCCACTTCCATATCTCTATGCCAAGTGGGATTAGGACTCTTGAGACTCAGGTCCAATATTACATGAGGACTCATTCATTTCTGAATTGAGATCCCTTAGATGATTTCTCATATAAGTCCATGTGTCTAATGGAGAATCCAGAATTAGTTGTTTCTCAACAACTAAATCCTAACCAAACCTCTGACATTCGGCCAAAATGCAGATAATTTTAAACATTAGAAAAAAGCATTAAACAACTGAAATATAAAAATTAAAACCAGAAAATCAAATATTTAACAAGCACTGAGGGTTAGGTATCACCTAAACCCAACCTCTAAAAAGTTAGCCACTATCCATATGGATGAGGCTTACACACAGTAACAGCAAACTAAAGAAATTACAAAAGAGAAATGTTAGAAAATAAATTACAGCACTAGCCTAACAACCAGCAATTTCAGTGCTGTAAATACATGCATCGAGTTCATCAGATGAACCAGAATCTCATTACAAAATAGAAATTAAAAGAAAATAAAATAAAAATTGTTCAGAAAGCAAAAACTAAAAAAAACGATAAATCAGAACCAGAGAGGGAAGAAGAGACTGCTTTGACTCACTCTTCTTTCCCTTTTTATAGGGCTCCTTTCCTTCTTTGCACGATTTTCCTCTCCAGCTCAGCAGGTGTTACGCGCTTCTCGCGCGTTACAGGCAGGTGGTCCCCAGCAGCTCCCTCCTCAGACAATCTGAATGGATTGTTGCTCCTTCAACCCGTACGTAAACTTGTGCCCAAAAATCGCTCAGCCTCACTCTCGAAAAGTATCCAGCTCACCACTCAGTAACGGTTTTCTTTTGTCCTTTTTCTAACTCAAAATAGTGGCTAGGTTCTGGTTGTTTCTCAAAGCACTAATCTTCAATGGCTAAGGTTCCGTGGTTTACGAAATTGTGCGATTTGGTGTGTCAATCGGGTAGAAAGGGTGCAAACGATGGAGATGGGTTGAATGAGGGTTAGGGTTCGGTCAGAGAGAAAAGACGTTAGGGTGTTTTTTTTCTGATCCTTGCTTTCACTTTTGTTTTTCTTCTGATCCCTTCAGCTTCCTCTTTTCTTTAACTTGGGCCTTCAACAAAAGATCCAGCCCAATTCCTCCTCTTATCTTCTTCTCTTCCTTTCCTTTTTTCTTCTGGGCTTTAGTATTTTAGGTCCGGCCCATCACTTTCTTTTTGCTTTTCCTTTTCTTTTCTTCTTGCTTCATTTCCTGATGATTGTTAACAAAATGGACCTGTAAAATAACAAGTTTAAGCCCATTAGCACTTAAGCCCATTAAATTTCAGCTCAACATGAATTTTTGGGGTATTTTAATCACAAAAGTCATTCATTTCTCACCAATTACACTCTAAATCATATGTTCTAAGTCTCATTAAAGAGACTTATCATGATCCAATCATCTTTATATAATACTCGTAAGGGTTTTATAATTCTCATTCAACATGAGAATTCAAATTTTCCTACACACCCTTCGATTTCCGTGCTGACATGAGTCCTACATATAATTTTTTTCAACACATGGGTCCCACATGCTTTTTATCTCTACAACATGAGAATTGAATTCTCAATCAACATGAGAAAATCAAACCCCTACTCGTAAATATGAAAATATCAACTAAAATTTGAGGTTCAATTAAGGGTTTTATATATATCATGTTGTAGGAAATTTGTAGAGTCATGTTATTCTCTCAAAAAGTGAAGGCCCTACCTTGTTTTTTTTTTTCTTCTTTCTTTTTTAGTAGGACCCATATCAAATATATTAAAGTAACATATATAAAACCCTCCAATTAAACAACACGATAATGTCAGGAAACTTTAAAGCCTATATAGATTACCGATTTTGGTCATTAGACAAAATATTAGCAAGTACACTATTATGAAATTTTTGTCCACAAAGCTCATTATTTTAAGAGGTGTGCGTGAGCACAGGGAATGTAAAGACTCAAAAGATTATAGAGGTGGATATCTCTAGATCTTTCCTTGTGCATTTCATGCTAAATATCTTCCTGTCTCAATACGATTCATTCAAAATCTCTCATAATACATATAAAGATAAATGATTTATTGATGAACTCTCTCGACCATATGTGCTCAAGAGGAGAGGAGGGGATATTGCAGAAATTAGATTCCCCCTCCCCCGCCTTTATGTTAAAAATAATCCTATAATCCAATTAAATCTGATCCAAATTTAATGGAGTTAGTTCAATTCAAATCGAGCATTAGAAACCTGCTAAATCTAATACAACTCAATCTCGTTCTTATATTCTTAGTTTGGATTTGATTTTCCTTACAACACGACCCACCCTTTAGCACCCATAAGAAAAAGTTAAGATACTTTCAACTTTTACAATGCATACAAAACTCTCTAAAAACAATGCAGAGAATCTAGCTAGCTATAGGCGAAATTCTCGGAAGGGGAGTTGCATACGTAGTTCCCATGTATTGCACGCAAGTGTGCAATAAGGTAAATATAAAAAAATATGGGAAATTATTATTTTATGTTGTAGGAAAATATTTTTCTCTCCTGCACATACATCGACTCGCGTGTTACTTTTTTTTTTCTTTAAGTGAGTGAGTCCTACTCATAACTATCTCTATGATATAAGAGAGCTTCTCTTATGTCACATGAGAATAATAAAGCCAAAAAATATATATAATTAAACATAAAAATGATCTGCTGTGTATGCCTATATGTAGTTCGCTGTGATGCGCCCATGATAAACTTGGCCACCTAGTTTCAACTTTTGTCACACTCTGTTTCATCACACTCTGACATGTCACAAAGACCAAACCAAACTCCAAAGTAGAAACACAAAAACACAAAACAACCCAACCCCGAGAATACTATAGCATAACAGTGTCTGGAACTCGTGGTTATACTTTTTTTTCATGTACATACAAAGCACGAAGTACAAACGCACTTTTAAATCTTCATCTCCTGCACTGCACTGCACTTGACCCATGATAATAAAAATAATATTATCAATTCAGTCACACTCATATTCATCCATCTCTCTCTCTCTCTCTCTCTCTCTCTCTCAAATTCTGCTTCGAAAAAGAATCTAGGGTTTGAAACTCTCTCATTCTTCACCATCTTCACTTTGAGGAAACTCCAAAAGCAACATTGGTTCATTTCTTCATGCTTCAACTACTTATTCATTTTGATTCTCATGTTTTCTTTATGTTCACGCATTTTTAATTTTGATTTTTTTTTTTTTTTTGTTTAGCATATATTGTGAAATTCCACTATCTTTTCCTTCCTTTTTAGCTTTTTTATACGAAATTACGAATTGGTAATTAATATGGGGTGCTTGGGGTTGTTTGTTGTCCTCGGTGATGTTGCTTGTTTTATGATCGTGGCTAATTTAGTTTGAAATTTTCACTAACAAACTTGTTTGCGTGTAATTTGTAAGAGGAATTCATTTATAATTGAAACTGAATTATACTCATACTGCTCCTGCTTCAAGGTTTGACTACCTTGGAGTTTTTTTTTTTTTTTTAAATGCACTCTGTCTCTTAAGTTTTAATTTTTATTTTTTTCTTGAACATGTTTTATGAATTATTTCCATTAATTTTTCCTTTTGGACATTTACGATACTGTATTTTCCACAGTTTTATCTTATATTGCCTTTGATATTGTTGTTGTTCACGAAAGATTGGCATAGATGCCCAATATCACATGCAAAGCTCCAATTCAGTGTGATGCGAATGCCTTCTCTTTTCGTTTGATTAGTTATGACTTTAAGGAACAATACAATGTCATAATTTAATGCTATGTGAATTGGTTCGTGGCTTTGTCAAAATTGAGTTTTTGCATTGTACTTCGGCAGTAAAGTATTCTGTTTTGATACTATTCCTTTTGTCACTATGTTATTTCATTAGTGTTCTTGTTTCTTGTACTAGCTTACTTCTCTAGTGTAATAAATTTATTTCTAAATAGAAGTTTACGCTGATCCACAATTTTTGGGTGCACTTTAGGTAATGATATGACATTTATCCATACAAAGCAAGGGGAAAACTAATCTTCCAGTGGTATGGCAACTGAGAGTCCAATTAGAATCTCAGAAGCTGGGGGGAAATGGCCATCTCTTAAGGAAGCTGCAACTTTTGGTTTACCATCTCGTAACATGGCAACAGAGGACTTGGGTATACTTTTGAAGGCCCATAGGTTTCATGGCATTGGAAGGGATGTCATACCCAATCGAAGCGGCAGTGCACCTCCAAGCATGGAAGGCTCATTTATGGCCATAGAAAACCTAATTTTCCAGAACACCACCCAAAATGCGAGCTTGGCAACTCTTAACAGAGCTATGCAAAAATGTGAGTCTGAAAACCAATTACTAGCTGATCTTGCTTATTTGGCATATTACTATTCCAATGTCAACCTAAATCCTAGACTTCCCCTCCACCCCTCATATCATGGGAAAATGGCTGTCTTTTACACCATATTGGTAGTTTTAGGCTTTAATCAGTAATTGTGGATTGTCTTCTGCAGATGATATCGTTAAAGGTTCTTCACATTTGTCACGAGGGACTCTTGCAACACACAAGGAGGAGTCTGAGGATGATTTGCCCCAACAGCTGTATGATAATGAGTTAGATAAGACTAGTGGAATATGGCACAGGCAAAGTGCAGCTTCAATGGCATCTCAGCACAAAAAATTAGTAGTGGTGATTATTGTGATATAAACTTCTGACTTTGTGAGATCAATTCAGTTTTCTGCATATAATATATAGGTTTAGACATTTATTTCTATTTCTTATTTCTTCTTACATCTGAACACTTTATTTGTCAGAAATTCACCTTTTTCCGCATTTATTACCTTTTCTTTGGGTACTGATCGCAAATTGTGAGAACTTTTATTTTTTTATTTTTTGGTAAGTTGTTGAGTCCAAGGTTTGACTGGAATCAATTGACTTTTTTTTTTTGCCCTCTCCAGATTGATTTTTTGATTGTGAATGCATAATTTTTGTTTTGTTTTAAAATTCAAACTTTCAGGATGATCTTCCCCATACCATGTCAAGTGTATATAATAAGTCTCTTGGAGTGGTGGATGAAATAATTAACCTAGATGCTGGTTCCAGTTCTTCTCATGGTCCTCTTGTCACCACAGTTGATGCTCCTAAACCTTCTGTCGTTGCAGATGACATAAGGCTGTCATCAACTGTGGATTCCCCTGCCCCTGTCACAAGCTCATCATCTCTTGAATCCACTGGAAGCATGGGCTTTAGTGACTTAGATGTTACAATTGAGTCTCAATTAAGGGCTCTTAGTGCATCTAATCTTCCAAATTCAGAAAGCCAGAGTTATGAAGATAAATGGAAGAACAGCTGCCAGAATAATTTGATGCAATGCCTGCAACAAAACAATCCACGTGAAGTTTCTAGCGCCAATTCTCAAAGTGAAAATTGTACATTTGTTGGTACGGAACAGTTTCTTCACAATCCCAGCAACTACTCTTATGATTTCCAGCCAGTACTGCATTCATCGGGGTTTAGTCCTCCACTATATGCTACAGCAGCAGCTTATATGTCCTCAACAAATCCATTTTACCCCAATATGCAGGCCTCAGGCATATATTCTCCGCAATATGTAGGTGGATACCCTTTTAATCCTGCAGCTATTCCTCCATATATTGGTGCATACCCTCCTCATGGTGCTTTACCACTTGTTGATGGGGCTACTGGTTCCAGTTTTACTCTGCAAGCTCCAGGGGTTTCTACTGAGGGAAGCATTTCTCATGAAGCTGAAATGGTACACGCAAACAAGTTCCTTGGACAAGTTGGATATCCTCTGCAGCCTTCTTTTGGTGATCCTATTTACGTGCAATATCATCAGCAACCTTTTGTGGAGGGATATGGTGTTTCTGGTCATATGCTGGCACCAAGAGCAAGTGTTGGTTGCCAAATCGGCCCTTTTGATTCCCAGAAAAGGCCCAATAGTGGTGCTTATTTGGATGACAAAAAATTATATCATCAGAGAAGTGGTGCTAATTTGAACTCTAGAAGAGGTGGGCTAAGTATTCCTAGTTATTTTGGACACCCACCAAATATGAGTTTTGGAGCGCACTATTTAAGTTCCCCACTTTCTAGTCCAGTTTTGCCAGGATACCCACAAGGCAGTCCTGGCCTTCCAGGAGGAAGGAATGAAATGAAATTTTCTCCAGCTTCTGGTAGAAATGGAGGTATATTTTCTGGATGGCAAGGTCAAAAAGCCTTTGACAGCACTCATGACCCCAAAGTTGTTAATTTTCTTGAAGAATTAAAATCTGGCAAAGGTTGCAGATTTGAGTTATCTGATATTATTGGGCATATTATTGAATTTAGGCAAGTAATCTTTTCAATTATCTTTCCACCTATCTCTATCAATTCCTTGACTTTGGGAATTAAGTTCACCATGGTTTTTACATCCAGCGCTGATCAGCATGGAAGCCGATTTATACAGCAGAAGTTGGAAAGTTGCGGTGTTGAAGAGAAGACATTGGTGTTCAAAGAGGTTCTTCCACATGCTTCTAAATTAATGACTGATGTGTTTGGCAACTACGTAATCCAGAAGGTGTGTTTTTGAAGTGATGTACATTGTCGCTAATTTTATGGTTGTCTGGAATCTGTTATGCCCTAATTATTCCTTTTCTCTGCTAAGTTTTTTGAGCATGGAAGCCCTGAGCAGAGGAAGGAACTTGCAAATCGACTTGTTGGTCAGATACTGCCTTTGTGTCTGCAGATGTATGGCTGTCGTGTAATCCAAAAAGTATGTAATTCATATGTATTCATGTAGCTGTATGACGTTAATATATTTATTTCAGTTGCATGACTTGAAAGCTATTGCAATCTGGTTGCAAGTTATGCTCAAGGATTTTAGTGGGTAGGGGGCGCGACTTTGTTTCTTCCATGTTGAACCATAGCATCTATATCGAGATTTATTTATGATTTGGATATGTACAGTTCTTACTTAGGCATTTGCTAGAATTATAGCTTTTTACAAATTGCAATCTAATAATGGGGTTGCTTATTTTGTAAATTTGTCTTTTCTTCCTGTAGCCAACCAAGGTGTAGTTTCCAAGTATTGACAAAATCACTGTGCTTGCAATAGACGAAGACCTCAACTTGTATAATACATGAAAGTATTTAGTCAGAGTAATATCTGCAAGGGATTGATGAAGCTGTGTCCACGTGAATTTATGTGGTTTTTCTTGTATAAACAACAGATAAAAGATGGAATGAAGTAAGACTTTGTCAAAGAGTTTTTTTTTCTCCATTTTGACTACAGTTCAGTGGTAACACTGTTCTTTCGTGACTGAAAGCTCATGGGTTTGAATCCAGGAAACAGTCTCTTTGCAATTATGCAAGGGTAAGGCTGCGTACAAGGATTTCCTTCAACTCACATTCGCTAGTCAGGTTTAACGGGGAGTGAGTTTTTATTTTATTTTATTGTGACTACAGTTGAGTTTTGTAAAACAAAAAACTCACAAAAGCAAATAGTGCTGACACTGATAAACATGATATTATATGAGCATGTTCCTTGCACTCCTTTTTTAGCACTGATCTTCTGTTAGGAACCCACAAGTAAGAGAGCTGAGAGAGAGTAGGGAAGAGAGAAAGAATGAATAGGTATATGTTATTAATAGCTGAATCTCAACAGAGAATGGAGATGATGCTCCTTCCAAAGGGTTTTCCCTTCACAAGGGATTTTTTCCTTTTACAACTAAGCTAATGCTCAGTTCTAACTAATCAATCTCGATGCCCCCCTCCCAAAATTTTATTAACTGGCTAACTTCCTACAGTGAAGCTGTAACTGCCTGATCCCTTCTAAGTACTCTAACTGCTCTATCCCCTTTATTCTTCCTATTATATACCCTCCAAATCTTCTGCTTATTCTTCCAGGTCCTATCATCCTCCTTTTTTTTTTAAGGTTTCCTTGACAGCTAGTACTAGGAAAAGCCAATGGAATGTCTTTTTTTCTTTTTCCCTATCCCCCTAGTATTAGATTGTAGGACTTGGTGCTCAGCTAATGCCTTTGATTATTCTATAGAAGAATGTACAGTAGCACAATTGAAGGTTGGCTGACTGCTTTCCTGTAACTTTGTTGTTTCAATGTTTTTGTTCAAAATGTGATTCGTTTGTTAGTTAAGAAAGTTGAAATTTGAAAAAAGTTTTGGCTACAAATCAAGCTTAAATTGAGAGGTTATATTATCGAATTTATTTCAATTTTGTGACTGTGCAGGCACTTGAGGTTATTGATCTTGTACAGAAAGCTCAGCTTGTTCATGAGCTAGATGGAAATGTTATTAGATGTGTTCGTGACCAAAATGGGAATCATGTAATACAGAAGTGCATTGAATCTATTCCAATCGAAAAAATTGGCTTTATAATATCTGCATTTCGTGGTCAAGTTGCCATTCTATCTATTCATCCTTATGGTTGCCGAGTCATACAGGTAAGGTTATTGCATTTTCCTTTTTCAAGAAAAAATTAATTTTTCTTTGGTTGCACATTTAGTCCTATGATTTGTTTCTTGTAGAGAGTTCTGGAGAATTGCTCAGATGAGGTTCAATGTCAGTTTATTGTGGATGAAATCTTGGAGTCAGCTTGTGCTCTTGCTCAGGACCAGTATGGTAATTATGTTACTCAGGTTAGTTGCTATCTCTCTCTCTCTCTCTCTCTGTTTATTGTAATATTGATTATTAGCAGCAGGTGGTGGTTATGATGCATAGTAGAAACTGAATCAAGTTGGAGGTATATGTATGCCTTTCCTATCATTTATACAATTATAAATAGCAACATATGCACTGTCTGCATTATTGAATTAACCAGGTTTGTGGCTCCAAGCCACCAACCTCTGATTACATCTATAACAGTCCTGCTTTCTCTTTACAATAGCATGATTTGTGACAGTCTCAGCAGGTGCTACATTGCTATTTCACTCTTCAAAGTTTTTGTATTTTTACTCCTTTTCTATTCTACTTTGCACTTACTTTTTTTCCTAAGCTTTGTTGAATTTTCTGTTTGTCAGATCACTTTTTAACATAACACTCGATCTCAAATGTAATCGTAGGTTTTCCATATTCCTTTTCTGCTTTGATGATTTTTTCTGTTGCTTTTTATATTTCTTGTATAATTTATCAATCATCCTCTCTTGTATATCATCTCATACAAGCAGTTACCCCATTTCAAAGAAATTTCATATAATTTATTGTTGTAACAGTCCCATTGTAATAGTTCCACATATTATAATAATTTTAAATTATTTTGTTGCTAGGATAGGTCATTAGTTCCCGTAGATTGAGCCGTATTTTAGGAAAGTAATGATTTGGTCTAGCCTTTATATTTGTAATGTGCCGTACAGATTCAATCAATTTATTCAGAAATAATATTCAGTCCTTTTCATTACAGCATGTGTTGGAGAGAGGGAAGCCTCAAGAAAGGAGCCAAATTATTAGCAAGTTGGCAGGACATATTGTACAATTGAGTCAGCATAAGTTTGCATCAAATGTTGTTGAGAAATGTTTGAAGCATGGTGATGCCACTGAACGGCAGTTGTTAATTGCAGAGATTATTGGGCATGGCGAACAAAATGATAATTTGTTGGTGAGTCTAAAATTTTCAAGGCTAATCACATTTTACTAGTTAATAAAATATTCATATAGGGGATTATACCCCTAAAACTGGCATCGAACAAAAATTGCTATCTAGTTATTTGAAAAAGTTGTTAGATTAGAGTTTTTGTTTGCTTGCTTGCTTCTTCTTTCTTTCTTTTTTATGATGAAAAATATTATATGGGCAGAAATTGTTTAGCTTGTCCCTTAAAGCGGAGGCTGAACATCAACATTGTTTTTTGTTTTCTAACCTTATACCCAGCACAGAAGTAAGAAATACCTGTTATCATGAAAAGGTGAGGGAAACTAACTATTAAATTTAATTACCAAGCATATTTTTTTCAAGATCCACTCCATTAATTCAGCCTTATATGACTGGATGGTTCAAATTGAAAATTTAATAATAATTGCCCGAGTCCTTTGCTATTTGGCATTGTCAAAAGGCGTATCTCAACTCAAGTGTTGCAAGTGTCTTCCTTGAGAGACTGCTAGCGGTAAATTTGAGTGTCCTTTTAATTCTTTTTCCCCACTAAAGTATTCCTTTGTCCTTTGTAGACCAGCGAACGATCTTAGTTTATTTCTCATATATTTTATGAAGTTTATTCTTGACCATCTTAATTATTCTTGAGCATTACATTATGTTCATTTATAACTAGAGTGAGACGTGCATGTTGGGGTTTGTACTCTTGCTTACTAAAACATGCTTAATTTCTTTGCATTGCAGACAATGATGAAAGACCAATTTGCAAATTATGTGGTCCAGAAGGTTATTGAAATCTGTTCTGAAAATCAGCGAGCAATGTTACTTTCTCGCGTTAAAGTTCATGCTCATGCTTTGAAGAAATACACTTACGGAAAACACATCGTGGCTCGGTTTGAACAGCTACATGGAGGTGTGTTCTCTAGTACTTCGGTTTACTTTGGTTGACAGTACAGAAATCATGGTACTTTAATAAAGCACAATTGCATTCTTCTAGTAATATATAATGGGGTAGGTAGGGAGTTCCTGAGAAAAATAAGCTCCAGCTTTGCCCAAGTGGCATTGACTCTCTTTTGGTATATTGAAGAGAGTTTAACTAAATTATGGGATAAAAGAATAATATTTAATCTTTCTGGTTTGAGTTAAGATAATCCAGTAGAATCAGTCATGAACTTTTGGATTAAACTCGTTTACAGTGATGTATATCAGTATATGGATAGCATCTCTCAGCCTTTAGGGGGACGAGTGACTGTTAAATTTCTTTCTATTGCCAGATATTAGTATTGAGAACATTTTGAGAATGATCACTTGGGGATGTTTATGGCTTAATTCACTGAGAGACGACTCCAAGCAGATGTATATTTATATAATGAGTAAATACAATCATATCCCATCATTATAGCTATTACAACTAAACTGAATCAAAACGAATAATCTATATACGGTTAAGTGTTTAATTTTAGGAAGCTAATGATATTCGACACAAGTCACTGCTTAAATTTGTGGAATGAGGAAACTTATTCCTGAATACCTTAATACATCCAACTGCCTTCAAATGAAACACTTGGATAGATGAGCAACAAACTCCCCCATAAGACTCCATCTTTTATTCCTTCTTATCCTATATTTTTCATGCAGAAAATGAAACACTTGGATCATGATGGCAATACAGAGGGTCTCGCATAATGTTTCTGTTCTGTGGCATGCAAACACCACAGCTAACACGTATTCTGTATCACAGGAGATAGATGAGACGTTGATCTCTGACCTGCTATTGAATAAACCTTTCCTACTACTCCTGTGGCTCCATATTGACCTTCATAGTTACGACATTCATGGCTTCAAGAAACATTGGTGCATGCACATATGTTCAAAACTTAAACTCAATGTAATTATGTCATTTAAGTAATTGGTTTGAATTATTGAGTGTAATTATTTGGAAGGGAAACCTTCCTGATGTAAATTTACTGGATTTTCTCTGCTTAGTGCTTACTGTGGTTTTCTTTGAGATAAGGGCTGAGGGCAGTCAAGGAGTCTTGAACTCAATCACCCCTTCTTTCCTCACCTCAATATCAACTCCCTTGTTCTTGTGGTTATATGTTGATTTAATTGAGCATTGTTAATAGGGGGAGCTGATCCTTGATAAGCTGGAGCTCGAGTTAATCTTCTATAGGTAAAGGATGGCTTTCTGCCGGAAATTATAAGTTCTTTTTTTAGTCTCCTAAACCGGTTTATCCTTTGGACTAATTGGATCCTAAGCGGAGGTGGTTCTCCAAGATCATTTTTTTCATTCACAGGGTTAGAACTCGAGACCTTTCGTTAAGGAATATAAGCTCCTTATCACTTGTACTAATGGTGTTTGGTAATAGACCAAGTTTTTAAATAAACCAATAAATTAAATAAGTCAATAAATATATCTTTCTATGATATTATGACTAAACTTTAATGAGGAAGGATATACTTACCACCAAAAAAGTTTATCACATTTACAACCAACTTAATCACTGTTGATTTTCGTCAATCTAACGGTTATAATTTATTGGAAATTATTGGATCACATTTATTAATAAGTATCAATTCCTAATAAATTATAACTGTTAAATTGACGGAAATCAACGGTGATTAGGTTAGTTGTTAATGTGGTATACTTTTTTGGTGGTAAGTATATCCTGTCTCAAATTTAATATAATAAGTAATAGTACATTACTTATATTTAAGTAAGCTAAGTCTAAAAAAGCTTTATTTTTTTGGTAAATCTAAAAAAGCTTTTTTAATAGCTTAAAACTTAATATTTTTATTAAGTTTGTAAGAAAATATTGAATAAACTTATTTGATAAATAAACCTAGATCTTTATTCTATTAAATAAATTCATTCGAAAAAATAAATCTAGATCTAAATAGACTTAATATGAGTTAAGCCGTTTGCAAATTTTAAATTTACTTATATTTAAACTTAGTTGAAAAAGTCATAGTAACGAAGGTTCTTTGACCATTAAGGGATGCATGAATTATTTTTTTTGTGTCCGTTTGGTACACACCCAAAATAATTTTTTGATAGGAAGCGTTTAGTTTAGGCGTCGGGTTCCCATGAAATTACTTTTATAATTTTTTTAATAAATATTCTGAGGAATTCATTAATGTTATTTTAAGTATTAAGGGCTTTGGATGGTTAAAATCGTGCCACGTGACACAGTTCACGAGTTTCCTATGAACAGATATGTGATACTCATTAAAAAATACAAAAATAATTTCACAGGTCCAGACCGCGGAACTGAACACCTCCCAAAAAAAAAAAATAACTTCGGAAAAGTACCAAACATGTAAAATGCACATTATAACACCCCAAATGATCGAATAACCTCGAAATATATCATTAAAATGACAATGTAAAAAAGTTACAATATTAAATAAATAAATATTAATCTAAAACCACTCCCTTGCACCAGTGGTCAAATGATTAATTTTATTGGCCAATTATTAATTCAAATAAGAGAAAAATGTATATCATTTCAAAGGATATAAAGTTCTATCATTGTAAATGAGAGAAAAAGATAAATAAAAGAGGAGAGAGTGAACCAAAAAATATAAAGTGAAAGAGTAAAATGACACAAGTTGTATCATTTAAAAGGACAAACATTTTTTCCTTAATAACGATGTTAACATAATCTTAAATGATTTTTTTGTTGAAAGAAAAGAAAAGTACTTGTGTATCTGTCGTGCAATGGCATGAACACCACTCCAAAAAAAGAAATAGCAAAATATGAAATGTAATAAATCTGAAACCTTAAGAAAATTGCAGCATAACTCAAAATATTAGTAACACCACACAACTATACTCATCATTTGAAAAACTACTTGTATTCTAGAATAGGCCCCCTGAAATTAAAGCATAAAGGTTACCGAATGTAGGTACTAAGTACTGCAAAAATGAAAGATTTTACAAAGCACACAAAATTTTATGCAAAATGGCCCGGGATCCCCAAGAACACCTGTTATAACAACATACCATAAAAATACCCTCCCAAGGCTACAACAAATTTGAGTGATGGAACGTGCAAGAGTATCCTTCGTGACCCAAGCAAGATGCAGTTCGTAATGCCCATTAATAACTAATAAATGACAAGGTATGCGCACGACTTTGAGGCAAATGCTTCAAAAGCGATCCTTCCGCTTCCGACCCGTGTACTTGGTATCTGGAGGAACAGCATTTCCTCTTCTTCTCATCTGCTCCTTCTTCCTTAGTAACCATTCCCTTCCCTTACCGCTCTTATTCTTTTTCTGTTTTTTCCGGGGTCTGTGCCTGTCTGAGATACATACCTGCAGTATTTGTATTTTTTGTTTAATAAAGTAAACTAGTTATAAGTAAGTGCATGAGTAAGGCATCTAAATAAGCAACTAGTCAACAAATTTCGCATGTTCAGAATCTGGAACAAATTTATAAATAGTTAGTTACTGATTTATAAATGCAACCAACAAATCAAATAAAGCATAAATCAATACTAGGATGAAAGCTATACTTTTAGAAGGATTATTATTATTATTATTTTTTTTTAAGTTCAGTATATCTTTTTAAAGCCCCTTAATTGAATTCATAAATGTGGCAAGACTCACCGTCTGATTTTCTTCATCTTCATTGTCATCATCAGAGCAACTCTCTCCATCTTCATCTTTACCTTTGGACATGGATGCATTTACTGACCGTTGACCACATGTGAGAACAAGAAACTCTTTTCTCCTCTTAGAACTATCATAAGACAATTGTTGTGCAGTTAGTGGAATACCATGTTCAAGAAGACTAAGCAATGATGCTTATCAAAAGAAATCATAGCTAAAACTACATCGAAAAAAACACAAATACCTTTAGAATCAAATATAATAACTTTTGTTTAGGTGTGTGGTAGTGTACATATATTAGCGGCGGAAGATAGGACTGAGTTAGGAGGGTTGACCATCATAATAAATCTATATATACATGAAGTGAGGAGAGGGAATCCACAGTGCAACAAAGTATATCCAGATACATAACACGTTTGTAATAATCCTTGTCGCATCCTTTCCTACCATAGTGTATGCTAAGGGTGCACCTTTTCAGGCAAGGAAAGTATACAGTTTGAGATGATTCATTTCATTTCAAGATATTCAATAAATTTCAGCTGGTGCTTAACAAATAATGTTAAACAAAACAGGCATTGACAGGAAAACAGCAGAATCGATGACAGACAACACTTGAGCTTCATAAAATTCTTTTACTTTTTCTCAGCAAAATGCAAAAACTTAAATTTAATTTTTTTTCACAGGATTGTTAGTCTGTCACATCCCCATCCAGTTTGAGATAAAGGTGATGTTAATGTTGACGGTTAGTTTATGATTAGAGTAACAAACAGAAAACAAAACATATTACGCAGATTGATAGAACAAACACTAAAAAATTCAGAAATGTTTTTCTAACACATTATTTTGATGAAAATAATGAGCCCTAGTAGTATTGTAAGATTTATTCATACCTGTGTGGAAAATCCACCACTATACCACCAGCAAATCCAGCATGCATTGCAGCATTCAAAATTAGTTCACGCTGCTCTATATTTTCAGGATACACTTGAAATACTGCTCTAGCCCCATTTGCTAAGCATCTGTATAAAGATGTAAAAAAAGCCCTACAAAAGAAATTGGCATTATATGTTAAGTTGTTAACAGAGTATCAAATATAAAATCCAGTATAATCAAATCTTAATATAGATTGTAAGGTGAAAGAATAAGTAGAAGAACTGTGCAAGTTTCGCTGAGCTTAGAGTTTAAAGAGACTCAAAATATACAGGTATTGAAATAATGAAAAGCAGCACGATAAATATGAAAAGGAACATACTTCAATCTTAATCGAGGATTGTGAGAGGATTTATCAGCATTGCATAACCACTGCATTATCATATAAAAATCCAGAAAATTAAGAATGAAAACGAGACAAACTCCACCAAACTTGGTAGAAACACATCACTCATTCACATGGGAAAAAAACAAAATGGGGCATTGATTTTCAGAAATCAACCTGGGGAACTCATTCACACAAATCATTTTTCGTTTAATTTTCTCATTTATCGAAAGCACACCTGAACAGCAGATATACTGATGGCCCCATCAATAACTCCAGGACGAATCCCTAAACCCTGAAAGCAAATATAAAGTGAATGAAAAACAGTAAGGCAAGATACAGAACATGCATGTTATTTCCTAGGAAAGAAGTTATTTGCTGTACATCAACATCATGATCTGAAAAATCACAAAAGGGTATTTAATAAAATGGAAAGGGGAAATTGAGATTTAAAATTAATTGGAATAGCAATAATACTGATAAAGGTGAAAGAAATTATGTAAATAATATACCTGACCCATGTCACCAAGTAAAAGGTCACCCTCAACCTCTCGTTCCAACGCAATATCTAAGATTTGGCAAAATAAAATATATTAGCAAACAAGAAGAAGCAAAATAGATAGTAATGAGAAAATTTTTAATTAAAAGAATGGAAAACATACTAAGCATTGATGGTGAAATGTCAAGACCAATCCAATGTTGTCCATTCTCTGAGAGTGTCTCACCGCTAAGTCCCGATCCACAACCTACACAAAGAAATCATTAATAATCACAAATAATACACGGAGAATTTGATGTAAGAGAGAGAATAATTAAATTAAATTAAATTACCAATGTCAAGGAGTAATTTAGGAACGTTGTCATCAGGCAAAGCAAGTAGCTCCACGGCTCTCTCTGACAGAGTCGCCTTTTCCACATACAGAATCAGATTAATAAATATTAATTCGTTTCAAAAAAAGAGAATTGAATGGAATTGTGAAGAAGAAGAAGGAAAACCTGAATTTCCACAATACGGGAAGAAGAGGTGTACTTGCGTGCTTCAGCATCGTCGTAGAATATCTCAGGTGGCGCTACCACCTCTGGTCTCGAGCCCATCGCTCACAGAAATTAATTACCTTTCTATGATTTTTCACACCTCACACAGACAAAAACCCTAAACCCCCATTTTGTGACGCGCCCCAATTCACACCTCGATTAATATTTATATTTTTATTATGGGTTTCGATTTTCAAAGTATATTATTATGCTATATGTAGACACATATTGTGCGGGGCACAAAAATCTTGCTTTCATGATTTATTTTCATATATATTTTTTTCAGATAATATTTAATTTTTTATAAACTCTTGCAAATTAAATTATGTCATTGATAATATACTCTTGAGTAGAATATTACCGGTCAGATATAATGTAGTTTGTAAGTTTATAAAAAACGAATTTGTCAATATAACCCTCTACTCATTCTTTTGTAGGAAATGTTATATTTACAAACTTTTTATTTACAAACTCTTACAAATTACATTAAGTATAACTGGTCATACTTCAATTAAAAGTGTAAGACCAGTCATACTTAATATAATTTGTAAAAAAAAAAATTGTAAAAGGATACTTTTTTTTATTTTTTTATATGTAAAAAGTATTTTTAAATTTTAACATTAAATAATTTTTCCATTAAAAATATTTTTCATATATTACATTTAAATATAAAATAGTTTTAACTTAAAAAAATCCTTTTAAAAAATCAAGACATGAAAATTATTTTTTCAAAAACTCATTCAACAGGCTTGAATTTGTGGAAAAAAAAAATCATATCATATCAGCCGAGTTATTAGTAAATAACCAATTTATATATGTTGTTGCATAAGCTTATGTTGCACTGACATGAAATATGGAATATGATACTATATTTTAACATGTTAATTCTAAAAAAATGTTAGATTCGACACATTAGGATACATTTTGATATCAAATAATATTTTTAATTTACGTAGTGTATATTATATTTAATATTCAATAATTTAACAAAAAAAATAAAGCTAAACTTATAATATCCATAATTTTTGCAAATAAACATAAAATATCTCAAATATTTAAATTAAACTCAATAAAATAGTAATCGTAATCTAACGAATCTAATAGTTGGAACTAAATAGGCAATGCAACGTAACCTTCGAACCTTTTTTGAGTCTCTGCAACGCGTGTTGAAATATTGAAAAATGTGAAGTGTTGAAGAGTATCAGACACGACACGTTAGGATTTTTGAAGTGTCACTTCATAGGCAGAAGCTATACCAGTCATTCTTGAAATTGATTATGTACTAAAATATTTATACTTATAAAAAAAATCGTATGTGCACTTTATTAATGCATATATAATATTCATATTCGTATGACACAATCCACATGATGGGATTTAGTTTTTAAGGATAAAGTAATTAACATATCACTTTTCTTCTAATCTGTTTTTTTGGTGATAACACTTTTATACTAATTTAAATGATCTTTTTTTATTTGGATAACCTAATTTAAATAATCTAAAGCGTGTGTGTGATACATGTCAAAATAGTGTGTACATTAATTGGATCAGTGTGCGCACAAAGTACTGTATCCATTATCCCGAAAATTCTTAGTATTTTATATACTTTGAACTCATTCTTTTTACCCATTGAGACTATTGAAATTGGTGCATTTTCATATATAATTTAGAAATTATGTTGTTCACAAGTGAATATTTGGAGAATCAATAGTATCGTTGGGTGTCCGTCATGCATTTGCCAGCATGCATGTTATTAGTGGTGGAGCTATCTACAGGTTAGAACTTAAAAGGTCATGCCTCCCAAAAGCCATATCATTAAAAACTACATAGTACTGTGTTTTTTCTTTGCTTGTTTGGGCTTAAAGCCCTCCCTCAATACCAAAAAAAAAAAAAAAAAAGACTACATAGTGAGGCATAATGTTTTTTTTTTTTTTGTGTGGATACATGTTTTTTTTTTTTGGATACAGTGAGGCATAATGTTATGTTACGAAATACCAGCTCCAAATAATGGCCATTAGTATTATCATTAACGTTGAACGTCAAAATTGCTACTTGGAGAAAAGGAAGAAATTAAGAATTAATGTTGTTTTCTTTAGTGTGGAAGAATGAAACCCGATGAAGAAAAAGAAAAATGAACAAATTCAGAAGCTGAGTTTTATTGCCTAACGCAAACGGAGCAACAAGTTTATTGATAAACGAAAGCTAGCGTGCATGCATTGTTGCATTGGGTTTGTAGCTAAAATTCTGACTATTTCATGCAACAACCAACCTTCATATGAAATTCATTTCATCTAACTGAATACAGCATTTACGGCCGAGAGTGAAGCAACTTTCAATTTTTTTTTATTTTCCTAAACAGAGACCTATAACTATATATGAGACATCTCTAATGAACCTCTTAAATCATTAACTTTTTTCAGACCTTTGATTCCACAACAAAAGCAAACATGCAAGTAATCTTCAAAGGCTGTTACTCCGTGAGGCCAATGGAACCAACATGGTGTGGTCGCATACCTTTATCAGAGTGGGATCAAATAGGAATCATAACTCACGTGCCAACAATATACTTCTACCGTCCCTCACAAAACTGGCTTTCGCAAGAGTCTACAATAGTTACCACCTTGAAAGACTCGCTAAGCCGAGTCCTAGTGCCGTTTTATCCATTAGCTGGTCGTTTACAATGGATAGGAAATGGTCGTTTAGAGCTTGAGTGCAATGAGTTAGGTGTTCGGTTCATCGAAGCTGAGTCCTTATCAAGTTTAGATGATCTTGGTGACTTTTCACCCTCTTCGGAGTACCGTTACCTTGTCCCAAGTGTAGACTATAGCGTCCCAATTCATGAGGTGCCTCTAGTTCTGATTCAGCTGACGAGGTTCAAGTGTGGTGGCATTAGCATTGGAACAACAATTTCACACGCTGTTGCGGATGGACCAAGTGCCATGCACTTCATTACTGAGTGGGCAAGGCTTGCACGAGGTGAAGCTTTGCAAACGGTGCCGTTTCTTGATCGAAAAGTGTTGCGTGCAGGCGAACCTCCTTTGGTGCCACCATGTCATGATCATGATCATGATCATGATCATTCGGAGTTCAATCTCCCTCCTCTGTTGCTCGGTCAATCTGAGAATACAGAGGAAAGGAAGGAAAAAACCACTGTTGCTATCATCAAACTGAGCAAAACTCAAGTTGAGATATTGAAAAAAACAGCAAATGAGAGTTGGCATAGACCTAGCAATGACCGTGGTTTTACCCGGTATGAGACGGTAACCGGTCACGTATGGAGAAGTGCATGCAAGGCTAGGGGGCATAAACAGGACCAACCAACGGCATTAGGTGTTTGTGTTGACTCAAGGTGTCGCATGCAACCTCCTTTGCCAAAAGGGTACTTTGGGAATGCTACTTTGGATGTGGTTGCTACTAGTCTTGCGGGTGATTTGGTTTCAAAGCCATTAGGGTATGCGTCGAGTAGAATAAGGGAAGCGATTGAGAAGGTTAATGATGAGTATGTGAGGTCAAGGATTGATTTCTTGAAGAACCAGGAGGATTTGACTAGGTTTCAAGATCTTCATGCAATATTAGGGAGTGACAAGGGGCCTTTCTATGGGAACCCAAATCTGGGTGTGATTAGTTGGTTGACTTTACCAATCTATGGGCTTGATTTTGGGTGGGGGAAGGAGGTTTATATGGGTCCAGGAACACATGAGTCTGATGGAGATTCTTTGCTTCTTCCTGGTCCTGATGGGGATGGATCTTTGCTTGTTGCTATTTGTCTCCAAGTGGTCCATATGGATGCGTTTACGAAGCATTTCTATGAAGACATTATGGGAGTATGATCATAGGGAAGATTGCATGGGAAAGATAAAAATAAGTTGTTGGACAGCTTCTGAACTTAAAATAACCTAAACAAAATAAGGAGAAATTAATTCAATCAAATATATGACCATTGTGTTTGTTGCATTGTAATCTTGTTTACTATTGTTATGAACTTAATTATAATATATCATGGTTCGTGTTTAATTACTTAATTACGAAACAAATATCAAGTCCAAAAAGAAGAATATGTCTGACTGAAAATTAATCTTATAGGCCATACCATTTTTCTGTCCTTAAGAAAATTTCATTGGTTTTTATTCGATCTATATTTAAATTTCGTTTTTTAAATTGTTCGCCGTTCTTGTCTGTACGTTGTATGAAGAATTATGAACAATGAATATTTGTTTAATAGTAAATGACTAAATGTCATTGTATATATCAATCTTAATCGTTACTTAAATATGCTTGATGTGTTATGAATTTTATTCCTATCCATGTAGTCTTTTTTTTTTTGATACATGAATCGAAATTCATGTAGTCTTCTAATATTCTATAGAAAAAGATTATTACAGAAAATCCAAATAACATTATTGTAATTACAAATGAGTCAATCTTTAGTAATTGTCTTCTTTTTAAGTGTACTTTATTTTATTTATATAAAAACAGGATATTTCAAGGCAACAAAGAAAAATGATAGAAGCAAGAAAAGGAAACAGATGTAAAATTACGGATGGTATTGAATGTAGAAGTAGTTTAAATTTTATTTTCATAGCATGTTTAGTCAATTTGCCTGTAATTGAGTCAGGTGTGATGATATACGAACCAAAAAAAAAAGTGATATACCACTAACACTAATGGAAATTTTGGGTCAAATGAAATTGAATCAATTAAAGTGTAGGGTGAAATTTATAAATCAAATGAAAGTGATAATTATTTATGGAAAAATTCATGGGGTGAGTTTCTTTAAATATTTAGAATATTAAATCGTAATTTTAATTGATAATTATCAATATTACACTTTAAAATCTTAATCCAGATACTTTATAAAAATGATCAAAATATTGTATGATTTAAACTAACGCAGTACTTCTGATTTTTTTTTTTTGGTAAATAGTACTTCTGATTTTAATTTAGAGGTATATTGGATTGAGATTTTAAAGAATTTTAATGGATTATTTTTGGACAAAAAAATCCATTGGTATTCAATTAAAATTTTAAAGGATTGAAAAAAGTCATGTAATATTTGATTAGGATTTTAAAAAATTATTTTAAAGTTATCCAAATTCGGTGATATTCAATCATAATTTTAAACAAAAGAAGAACAATCTTGTGGTATTAAAAAATCTGACGATTTTAGTGAATTTTTTATTAGTGTGGATTCCGTGTGATTTTTTAGTGAGAAATATAAATAGAATGTCTCTCACAATCTCACTTTAATCCTATGATTTTTTGATATTTGTCTATTGTAGTGTTTTTTTTTTCTTTGACGGGTTGAACCGCCCAAAACCAGGTTCCGCCATAAGAGCTTCGTTAAATTTCAAAAATAACATATTTTTTAGTGATTTTCATTATAAGACAATCCAACAAGATTCTAATATAATCCATCTCAAAAACAGCAAAATTTTAAGAGATTTTGGAAGTTTAAAAATGATTTTCAAGCTATGTCATGATTTTTCTTGACACAAAATGGTGTAATTTTTGTATTAAAAACAACATAAAATAGTGGGAAAAAATCAGGGAACAAAATCCCACAAATCGATTTTCGTTTTACATCAATGAAACAAGATTGATTTAAAGAAAGATTGAAACTTTCATAATATGAACCCTATGTTTCGTAATAATACATTTATGAACGAAATTCATTTGCTATAAGAAATGATTTAAGATAACTTTTGTATCAATAGATCACTAGAAGCTTGATTTTCAAAAACCCCAAAACAATTTAAGGTTTCAATGTATCGATTAACAATAATTAAATTTTTTTTCTAAACTTTCATGTAATAAAACTCAGAAATTCAGATTCAAAATTTTCTTAAAATACTCAATGAAAACATGCATATATATGATGGGAAAAAGAAGTATCATTTAAAAGGATACAAGTTGTGTCCTTTTAGATGATTTACACAAAGTATGACGGTTATACTTTTTGTAAATCTGAAAAGATGCTTTTCTTTTCTATCTCCCTAATCACATCGCTGACGTGTAAAGTGAAGAAAAAGTAACTTTTCAGAATTACACAAAGTATGACCAGTCATACTTTGTGTAAGTCACTAAAATGACACAACTTGTGTCCCTTTAAATGACATCCACCAAACCCATATATGATATATGATTAGAAAACTCTCGTTACATAAAACAAAAATCTCAAGGTTTCCAAGATCAATTGAAAAAAATTTCAAACGAAATTTTATCATGAACTTTAGGTTCTATACACAAATTTTGAATTATTTTAACAAATAAAATAATTATGGTTCTGAATTATAATCATATATGCATAGCTCTGATACCAAATGAAGATGATAATTTTCATCTCATTGGTCAAACCAAAAAGTAGGAATGAGAAGATGTTATTGTGTGGAGGACTAGTATACATATGTGGAGAACTGATGTTTAGTAAGACATAGTTACATCAAATTATTGATTGAGAAAATTATATTAAGTTTTACTTTTTTATTAATATCATTGCATTTTTTTTTTATTGACTCTTGTAATTTTGAATATTTGTTAAAAATTTATATGATTTTTTAAAATCTTATTAATCTATATTGTTCTTTCAAATCTTATAGATTCTATTAAAATCCTTTAAAATCCAATCTTATATAATCTTAATTGTAGAAAAAATCTTTTAAAAAATTCTTTAAAGTCACTGCACCCCGTTAATCAAAAGGATTGATCTTGTTTTCTTCTTCCAGCAAGATGCTATACAATTACAAATCCATCTAGCCAAGAACTTATGTTAAAGAATTTAATTTATATGCACTTTTTGGCTAAAAATATTTATACTATTATTTAACAGGAAGGCTTATATTTATTGGGTATGGTTTATACTTTGCGTGCTGATGAAAGTTTTTGTTATTGGGGTTAGTAGAAAGGCATTTGAAATTCCTTTTCCAGGTGAGTGGGCGGGGGTCCGAGGGGCAGCGCCCCCAAGCTCATAGAGGCCACGTACTGTTGTGGGCCTCTTATTTATTGTTATTTTTCCTTTTTCTTAGTAGTTTAGGCTTGGTTGGACCCATAAATAGATATTGTTAGGGTTTTCCAATTCTATTTATATTCTCTTTGTAAACCGAGTGATTGTAAAAAGTGACGGTGAAGTGAATATACTATAGACAAGCTAGACGTAATCTACATTGGATGAATCAGGGTAAATCACCGTGTCAATTTTCTCTCTCTCCCTCTTTTTCTTTTCGTTTGCAATTTGTGTATTATGTAAATTGTCTATCCCGATAATATTTACAAATTTTATTTTACAAATTCTTACAAATTATATTATGTATTAGGAATAATACACTATATACTGAAATATATTATCCCTAATATTGTAAGAAAAAACTTATAAATATAAGTCTCCCCGTTATTTAACTATACAAGAGAGACGTACTTGACACATTTTCTCTACCATACCATTACCAAAGTTCCTAGCAAGCAGCCCCACCTTAGACTTGGATGGCAATTGCATTGCATGAATAATAGCATTAATCGGTGACTTCAGTTCAGTTTCCCTGTTTCTCTCTTTCTCGCGTCCAATCCTCACAATGCGGAGGTCAGCTTCCTCCGTTACCAACCATTCACGAACTCTTTCTCGCACACTCTCTTCTCCTCAAAATAAAAAAAAATAAAAAAAAAAATTAATTTCACAACCCCAAAGGTAAAAAGAAAAGAAAAGAAAAGAAAAGAGAAAAAACTTGTTTACAGGCATGTTCAGTATTTACCCACTAAAATAAAAGTAGAAACAACAACGAAATTTCTCGTGTAGGTGATCGGTAAAAAAAGGTACTTGTGTTCATTGTTTCGCCTTTCCCCCATTTTGAATTCATTAATTTCCATTCTCTTATTGTTATTTTGAAACTGTGTTTCGTTTACAACTTTTCAATCCATCCGAAATTCTCAAGTCTCACGTCTCATCCCAATTGCATTTAGTTTTATTAAATATTGATACCGTTTTAAGGCATTAACACTGTGCTTAAGACAGGGACTTTTCTCAATGTGATTGAGTTGAATTGAATGGCTGAGGTTTCTTTTTCTCTCAGTTTCACATTTGTGATTTTGACCGTTCCGGACAAACAAACAAACTTTGGTGAATTTAATTTAAATTTCTGAATTTCAGTTTTTACTGTTCATGTGTGCGTGTGTGTTTGCGTGTTGGTTGGGTTTTGTTGCCGTTGGTGATAACTGATAAGCACGTTTGGCATTCATCGTTCCCTCCCTTTCTCTCTCTATTCTCCATTTTTTTTTCTTCTTCTTATTGGTTTATCGAATTTTGGAAATATTGAGGCCTGGAATGCGTTTCATTGTTTGTTTCACTGGTTTAAGTGCATATAAGCTTTTTCTGAATTTTGCTTCGTTTCTAGATTGGTCTGTTGTTTAAATAGAGGATATCAAAGTTTAGTTGGAACTTTGAAAAATGTAGCGTTACATGTTTTTTGTGAAGTTCTGTACAGCGTATTTATTGCATGCACCTGTGAGGATATGTGTGTGTGTTCTTTTTGCTCCAGCTTAAACTTTACAATAAGTATATCATAACCTGAGGAACATTAATATACGTAAATTAGTTCTTTAAGTTTTGTAATTGGACTTCTTAATTGTGATTGGTAATTCTAGAGTTAATATAGGAAATTGGAATTTATACATACGGAATTTTTTGGACAGCTAATGTTATTCCTTATAATACCCAACTATAATCAAACTACTTGGTGATCCACAGATGGGGAAACAAAGTTTGACAAAATTGTAGTGCTATAATCTGGTATTATCAGATTGCAAAGTATTTTGAGGCAACTTAACGAATCTACGGTACGGATGATGTGGTTGTTGTTTTGTACAGGCCAAGATGAGGAAGTTTTAACTGGGGACATTCAATGCAAAAAAAGGTCATGAAATTTTCCATAGATAATTCTTGCAGTTGTTGAGCTACCAAAATTTCAGTGGTATGCTGGATATAAGTTGGTGCATTTGAAGGTGAAGAGGTTATATGAGTGGTGGTGAACAATGCAGTGTGCAGAACTTATGATCCACATTTGAGTTTATGTGGCCATTAATATCAGGTGGAGAAGTGGCCTAAAGATAATTTGTGTAGTGCAAACTTAAAATGTTATTTACCCAGGATAAATTTAAGTCAGTAGCAGTTTTTTTTTATTGTATCTCAGGGAATATGAGCTCATTTAATAGTAGCATAAAACCATAATTTGGCTTGGCTTACAGTTTTATCATTTATTATTGGTCCCCCTACACCGAAGGATCAATTAAACGTGCTTTTATATCATCTATAGCTCTTTGTTTTCTTTCCAAATGAAGTTATTCTGGGCCAAATTTTCTTAGTTGAAAGAAGTTAGTGGAAGCATTTACTTTTTTCACACACTATATGTCAGCTTCAGCCATAGACCATTTAGAGTTTACCTTTCTAGATGACTACGTTCATCATATGATTCATGCTTTTCTTTCAGGGTAATTGTTTAATATATTCAGGCTAGGTTGTGGAAGACCAAATAGTAGAAGAATACTATGGCCGTTTCTATGAGAGATTTGGATCCAGCTTTCAAAGGAGCTGGACAAAAGGCGTATCCTGCACTCGTTAACAACAATATATTGTGCTGTTTCTGATTTATCATATTTTGATGCTGACATAGTTCAAGGTTGCTCCTACATTTGGTTCTGTTCTATGCTTAGTTTTTATTTCTTGCCTGCACACTTTCCAGTGCTTCTGCATTGTTCTCCTTAACCATACTCAGTGGACTTGAAATATGGCGTATTGAGAATTTTAATCCGGTTCTCATCCCTCAGTCTTCTTATGGGAAGTTTTTCACCGGGGACTCCTATGTGATCTTGAAGGTAAGCCATATTTTCCCCATGGTTGTTCATTCATAGAATGCTAGCCTCATTTTGGTATCCATTTTTGCAAGAAGCTTGTATTTGTATTTGTGTCAATGTTTTCATTTTTCTTATCCTCTTCATGTAGACAACTGCTTCAAAAAGTGGTGCTTTGCGCCATGATATCCATTACTGGCTTGGTAAAGACACCAGTCAGGTAAGTTTTGCTGTTTATATATTGCTATTCCCCTCCACCCTTTTTTGGTTTTGATATTTGATGTAATTTCCATTCTGTTTGTCTGCTCACCGGTGATCATAACTTCAAAATAGGATGAAGCTGGTGCTGCTGCCCTTAAGACAGTTGAGTTGGATGCAGCTCTAGGAGGACGTGCTGTTCAGTATCGTGAAGTACAGGGTCATGAAACTGAAAAGCTCCTTTCTTATTTCAAACCATGTATCATACCTCAAGAAGGTGGAATTGCCTCAGGTTTCAAACATGTTGAGGCTGAAGAACATAAGACACGACTGTTTGTATGCAAAGGGAAACATGTTGTACATGTCAAAGAGGCAAGTTTGACATTATTCCTCTGCCATTGACTCATTGAGGTTTGAGTCTTGTATATTATTATTGTGCACCAGTATACAGACACCACACATTTAAATAAACATTATTTTCTGCTTGTTGATTAGCTGCTTGTGATGATTATAGGTTCCATTTGCACGATCTTCACTCAACCATGATGATATTTTTATTCTGGACACTGAGTCCAAAATCTTCCAATTTAACGGTTCCAATTCATCTATTCAAGAAAGAGCTAAAGCATTGGAAGTTGTACAGTATATTAAGGATACCTACCATGATGGAAAATGTGAGGTAGCTGCTATTGGTAAGTGTACAAGTATATTTTAAAGTTTTAAAGGTGATTGCTTCGTATCACTAATTGTATGTATATACTTGAACTTCCATGCAGAGGACGGAAAGCTGATGTCTGATTCTGAAACTGGAGAATTCTGGGGTTTCTTTGGGGGCTTCGCTCCTCTTCCTCGGAAAACAGTCAATGATGATGATAAGCCTGCTGATTCTCATCCTCCAAAGTTGCTTTGGTAATATGCTGTTTCAGTTTTCCCACTGGAATTTTCATTTGTATTTGCACTGTCAGCATATTCCTTTCTTTTTTTAGCAAAATAATATTTGGATGCAATTCATCAATGTTTGAATGTGTTTGTAATCATACTCTTTCACCTACTGTTTTTGTTCCCCTTCGTCTGCAAACTTGTGGTAAGAGTGCTATAAATTTACTATGCTTATAGCCTAAAGTTGTGTATGTTGATAATGTGAGTATTTGGTAATGACACTGTTAAAGAATAATATAAACCATTAAAAAGATATTCACCCAACACCTTAAGATTTTAGGTTGAAGTGGTTCTTTACATGGTATCAGAGCTTCAATGACGTCACGAGTTCGATCCTCACCGCCCCTTGCTTGTAAAATTAAATAAGCATAAGGTAAAAATAAAATAAAATTTGGCCTATGCAATATCCACGTTTCAAGCCCAAATGGCTCTTACCTGACGGGGTGTGTTAGAGAATAATATAAACTATTAAAAAAACCTTCACCCAACACACTTTAAGGTTTTGGGTTGAAGTGGTTCTTTACAGATATTAATTATTGTGACAAGTACATAGATGAATTTTATTTATTATATTGAAATGTTAGATTCCATAATGCTCAAGTTATAATGAAATTATCACTTTCCAGTGTCGAAAAAGGGAAGGCAGATCCTATTGAAACTGATTCTTTGACTAAGGAATTACTGGACACAAACAAATGCTATATTCTAGATTGTGGGTTGGAAGTGTTTGCGTGGATGGGAAGAAACACATCTCTTGATGACAGAAAAAGTGCAAGCAGAGCTGCAGATGTAACACCTCTTGTTTCTTTCTCATTATCGTTGAGCATTTTGCTCTCAGTTTTAATGACTCTTGAATTGCTGTTGACCAAAAAACAGGAGTTAGTCAGTGTTACTGATCGACCAAAATCCCAAATAATCCGTATAATTGAAGGATTTGAAACAGTGATGTTCAGGTCCAAGTTTGATTCTTGGCCTGAGACAACTCCTGTAACAATGTCTGAAGATGGTCGCGGCAAGGTAGCAGGTTAGTTTTAATTAAATTTTGCAGTTGTTGTTGGCCTGAATAGGTTTCTTCACCTTTAAATTGGTTTCATCAGATCATTTGCCAGACTGTTTTAGTGTTCTTCTAATTTGTGTCTAATGTATGATTCTCTAGCACTTCTAAAACGTCAAGGATTGGATGTCAAGGGTCTTTTGAAAGCTGATCCAGTAAAAGAAGAACCTCAACCTTACATAGATTGCACGGGACATTTGCAGGTAGTCTACTAGTTTGTACAGCAAATAATTCATCGGAGCTGATATCTCATGATCTAACTTTTATTGATATTTCTTTTAATTTTTCAGTGGTCTTATATCCCTTATCTAATCAATTTCTTCTAATAAGAGAATCTTTAGAATCACGATCATTGTATCCTTAGAACTCCACTTGTCTCCCATTCTAAATATAATCATCAAAATGAGAAGCTTACAATACATAAGAGGTGTATTGATGCTGAAAGCGCATAGAAAAGTGACTAAACAAAAAGTTAAGATTTTCATAAAAGAGTAACCCTCCCTCCGGTTCTCAATTATAATTATCAAAATAACAAAATTCAACTCCTAGAATAAGGGTCATAAACACCCTTTTATAGACTAATTACAAATTGATTCAAAATTCAAAAATCTAAAATCCTAAAAATAAGAAAACTTCCTAAAATAAATATAACAATGATTAGCTTCTAAAAATAAATAAGTAATTACAATTAAATCATTCAAAATACATCCCAAATCTTATATCTCAAACCACATCAAATGTATTGCTTTACTTTTCTTGCCAAATAAATCAAAATCATATCTGCTGCTTTATTGGAACTTGGATTTGATCGTAATTTGCTATATTTCAAATCACTGCTTCTTTCAACAATTGGGCCACAACTCTGGTTGACTCTAAGCTTCTCGAGTCAATGGTTGGGCCACGTACAATGGGCCAACTGTAAGTGCATCATTCTCTCCTACTAAAAAAAGATTCATCCTTGAATCTCTGCTTCATATTCACTGATATCAATTTCTTTAGACAAAAACTCAAATGATAAATCTTCCTCTATTAGATCTTCATAATCTGATCCTCCACCAGATTTATCATAGATTGGATTATCACCATAAATTGAATCTTCATCATAAAATGGATAATCATCATAAATGAGATAATCATTATCAATCGGATAATCATCATAAATTGAATCTTCATCATAAGATGGATAATCATCATAAATGGGATAATTATCATCAATCGGATAATCATCATAAACTATGTTATGATCGTGGATATCAAAGACAGAAATGTTGATTTGCATATCTTGAAGAGTGAACAGATTTTCAGGTTGTACTTCCCAATTCTGTCCCTGGTTTAGAATCTCCAAGGGATTGACATCCTCTTCTTCGTTATCAGATTTGTCCTCTAATTCCGTTCCTTCTTCGGATTGAATGCCCAACTTTGTCAACGCAAGTCGCCGCTCTAAATATTTGATTTCCATGCTCTGCACCTCCACAAGAGTTCGCTTCAAAATTTGAATTTTCATGCATACCCGCACGAGTCGTCGGTCCAAATCTTGAATTCTCTTTCTCTGTGCCGGCATAAGTAGTCGCTCCAAAACTTGGATTTTCTTATCCAACGCTTGCTCAAGTTGGTGCTTCAAATCCTGGATCCACCTTCCGAGCTCGTCATTTTCTATGTCACGCGAGTCTATTTGATGCGGTTGTCTGTCTCCTTCAGGAATCCACGTCCCTTATCTTCACGACTCCGCCATCGATGACCTCTATGATTCTGCTCAGCCTTTGGTTGAAGGCAATCTAATGCTCTGATACCAAATGATGCCGAAAGCGCTTAGAAAAGTGGCTAAATAGAAAGTTAGGATTTTCACAAAAGAGTAACCTCTGGTTCTCAATTATAATTATCAAAATAACAAATTCAACTTGGTCATAAGCACTCTTTTATAGACTAATTACAAATTGATTCAAAATTCAAAAATCTAAAATCCTAAAAATAAGAAAACTTCCTAAAATAAATATAACAATAATTAGTTCTAAAAATAAATAAGTAATTACAATTAAATCATTCAAAATACGTCCAAAATCGTATATCTCAAATCATACCAAATGTGTTGCTTTTTTTTTCTTGCCAAATAAATCAAAATCATATCTGTTGCTTTACTGGGAATTGGATTTGATCGTAATTTATTATATTTCAAATCACTGCTTCTTTCAATAACTGGGCCATACTTATTGGGCCACAACTTTGGTTGACTCTGAGCTGTCAATGGTTGGACCATGTACAATGGGCCAACTGTGTAAGTGCATCATGTATTCTATCATATGCTTCGAATATGTGAAACCTAGATTAATGTTGGTTCATTTAGAACAAGCTGAGAAGATGCTTAATATTTTCTGTAAGAAATGAATCTAGAATTAGGTAAGGGATGTAATGTAGAATAGAAAACATGATACTTCCTACACAAATCGGATGTATAAATATCAAATCTATGATCCTTAGTTTATGTTAGAATATCGAGAGGATATTTCACATTATCATGATTATATTTTACAATAGTTTAGAGTATCTTAGATGATATCTTAAGATTGGTTTCCATGATAATATCATTATATCTTAAAATAGATTAGAGTATCATAGATGATCTCTTAGGATCGGTTTCCATAATTCCTTATGCTTCATGATTTGTTTCCTTAATCAGAAATAGGAGTCTATTATTAGTATAAATAAGGGTTATTGCTTTATCTTTAGTAACATGTCCTTTATATCAAATCATTATGAATTTGAGATTATTCAGTCTTTATTCTCTCTATTTTTTTCCCTACCTAAATCTCTGTAATTCAAATAGTTTACTTTTTGATTGACCTGCTAATTGTTAGTCCTTAAACAATTTATTATCATATTTATTTTCGGTTTAAATAAGATTTTGGTCCCTATAGTTTCTATCCATTTGGGTTTTAGTGCTTGTAGTCTATTTTCTTACTGGTCCCTATATTTTCACTAATTTGGGTTTTGATCCCTACGATTACAGTATCTGTTCATATATTTTCCACTCATTTGGGTTTTAATCCCTATAGTTTCTACTCATTTAGGATTCAGTCCCTATTTTTTCCGCAAAAGATTGGTTTTCATAGTTTCTACGTACGAAGCTGTTGGTCCCTGATGAACCAAAACCCAAATAGATGGAAACAATATGGACCAAAATCCTACTTAGACCCCCTTTTTTTTAGATTCAATTAGGTGCCGGTCAACTTTAAAATTATTTTTTTTCTCCTACTGGTATTAGGTGTAACTCCTTTAAGGCTTTACACAAGCTCTTTTGCCTAGAATCCTTTTACTTTGGTGAGTCCAAGAATTTTCCCACATTCCACTATGTTAGGATTTAAGGGTTCAATGACATATCTTAATTTTTATCAAAATTATTGTTGAGACTTAAGGCATCAAGGTGAAAGTTGTTTCCAGAGTTTTATGAATGGTTGTAGTTGATATGTTAGCCAATATTTTGTATTGCTTCATGAGCATCTGATGATTAGTATCCCTTGAGGATTTCAAAAGATATGTTCTGTGCTTCTCCCTATTTGGATGGACTGATTATGATTTGAATGTGTACTTAATTTGCTACATCTCTCTTGCTTAATTGCTTCTGTTGCTAACAAGATCTTTACCGTAACTGCATAGGTTTGGCGTGTGAATGGTCAGGAAAAGATTCTTCTTCCAGCCACTGATCAGTCAAAGTTTTATAATGGAGATTGCTACATCTTTCAGTATTCATATCCTGGAGAAGATAAGGAAGAGCATCTGATAGGAACATGGATTGGAAATAATAGCGTTGAGGTGAAAGCTTTGAATTGATTTATTCTAGTTCTTCTTGCAACGTGTGTTTATGATGATTTATTTACGTAAAAAAACTAAAAATCTGGCTGCAAAATATTTGTCTGGAGTTCAAAACTATATTAGTGAGTCACAGCTTATATATTTCGTTACACTTTACACCCAGCACTGGTAACTGTTCTTGGGACCAGAAAGTGTTGAATAAATGCAAAACTTAATTTAGTGTTGCTATAAATTTGCATTAGCCTGTGTAAAGAACCTTGGGATACACCACCCCAAGAGCTAGCTCAAAGGGTGGGAGTGTCCAAGGCCTTATAAACTCCACATTAGTTGCACATACAACCAATGTGGGACTATATATCTTAACACGTCCCCTCACACAAGAGCCCATTGGGCTTGAAGAGTGGACAATGCAACAGGCTCAGCCTACCTGTGCTAAGAAATGCCACAAGAGAAAGTGGGGGGGGAGGCGGCGAGGCTCTGATACTATGTAAAGAACCTTGGGATACACCACCCCAAGAGTCAGCTCAAAGGGTGGGAGTGCCCAAAGCCTTATAAACTCCACATTAGTTGCACATACAACCAATGTGGAACTATATATCTCAACAGCCTGCATTCCTTACAAGCTTTCTTTGTTGAAATTAGGAAGAAAGAGCTTCAGCTCTTGCACAAGCAAGCAAAATGGTTGAGTCAATGAAGTTTCTTCCTTCCCTGGTAATTTACCTTCAAATGTGTTATTTTCAATTTGTTGAGAGATTATGTGTGCTCACAGCTTATGTTCTTATTGATGTTATCCATGTGTGATTGATTGAAGGCTCGTATTTATGAAGGCAGTGAACCAATTCAATTTCATTCCATCCTCCAAAGCTTTATTGTTTATAAGGTTTGTGGGATTCTGATATCCGGGTACCTAAGAAAAAACCTCTTTATATAAATAACTTATTTTTTCTTTATTACGGTCATTTATTTCAATTGTCTATCAGGGTGGACTTAGTGATGGATACAAGAATTACATTGTGGAGAAGGAAATTCCAGATGAGACATACAGCGAGGATGGTGTTGCATTATTCCGCATCCAGGGCTCTGGACCGGACAATATGCAAGCTATACAAGTTGAATCGGTATGGCATCTTGTCTATTTATAATGGCCATCTCTATCCTCTCATTTTTGTATGGGCAATTGACACCTTTGAATTTTACCAATTTTATTTATATACTCACAATTTTTCTTTTCATTTCTTTTGTTAATAAGGTTGCATCCTCCTTGAATTCCTCCTATTGCTACATACTACATAGTGGGGATACTCTTTTTACTTGGTCTGGAAGTTTTACAACTTCAGATGACCAGGAACTTGTTGACAGAATGCTGGATTTCATCAAGGTCTGTCATGTTCCAAGATATACTTAATGTGAAAAATTTGATTCATCGAAACAAACACCAAAAGTTTTGCTTTTGTCAATATATTCATGTTGGACAAGCAGCTAAAAATGGGTGAGATTTAACATGTTTTCACGTTAAAAGTAGTTAACTATACTGGTTATTACCTCACTTGCTATTGGGCTATATTGGATCGGTTCTGGGCTCAGTCCCACTAGGTGGCATTTCCCCGAGCCACATACCCATACTAGAAATTTTACCAAAATAGAGAAAGTTATATTTACAAACTTTTTGTTTACAAACTACACTAAGTATGACTGGTCGGCGGTCATACTTCAATCAAAAATGTATGACCGGTCATACTTAGTGTAATTTATAAAAAAAGTTTGTAAACGGATTCTTTCCCAAATAAAAAATATATCACTGATTATTAATTAATACACATGCTCACCAATTGTCTGCAGCCGGAATTACAATGCAAACCACAAAAGGAAGGTGCAGAATCTGAACAGTTTTGGGATTTGTTAGGAGGAAAATCCGAATATCCCAGTCAAAAGATTGTGCGGGATGATGAAAATGATCCTCACCTGTTTTCTTGCAACTTCTCGGAAGGTAAGGACTAATTTCTTGTTAGCTCTAAAGCTTTATCTGATCTCCACCCCCCAGACCACTCTCTTCTTGAAGGCAAATGGCTGACTTGTTTGTGATGGTTTCTTTCCCTGCCTGATTGCCCAACGTGAAGGAAATTTAAAGGTGTGTACACCCACTCATCTGTTGATATGCATGATTTTGGAATATTCTGACTTAGGTTGATCCCGTGGTATGAAGGCATGTTATAGAAGTTATTGCCTTTTAGTCAATATTTCATTTATAATGTTTTACCTGTTAAGTTTCCCTTCATTGATAAAAGATCAATGATGCAATCCATTTTCAGCACGATATCAATAATTCAAAAGGAATGAAAAACAAGCTAGTTTGGTCAAACTGATAATATGGGTAAAACATAAATCTGAGTCCTTAAGAATGATGAGCAATGAAAAACTACAAAATAGGGATGACATACAGTTTTGGAGGACACTTTTTCCAATATCAGCACCGCTGTCAATCAAATCTGTGGCTGAAAAGATGCATTTTTGGGTTTTCATTAAGTTATTATAATGGGATTCTGTATGTGTCTGATCACTTAATCATATGTCTTGTGATATATTATAATTTTACACTTATTGAAAATGTTGCTGACACGGACAACAAAGGTGTAAGTCAAACTCATATACCTGGTTGGCATAATGATCGGAAAAATAGAACAAAATACAGCTATCCAGATCCACATAAAACACTATGTTATGACTTAGGACATGATAATATGTTGCAAAGTGGTTACGGCCATCTTGGCTTCCTTTATAGACTAACTTTGGGTGTAGAATGCTAACAGAAAGACTGGCCAATTTATTATTGATCACTTTTCTAGTATGACATTTCATATAATAAAAGCACATTTAGTATATGCAGGCATAAGGGTGAATTTACTGCTGTGTCTTATGCTTTGCTTATGAAGATGCATGTTTGGCTTTATTCTGCTGCGATGCATTAATCTAAAGCAATGGTTGCAGGCGAAAGAGATATACAACTTTTCCCAGGATGATTTGATGACAGAAGATATTTTCATCTTGGATTGTCACTCTGAAATCTTTGTTTGGGTAGGCCAGCAGGTTGATCCCAAGAGTAGAATGCAGGCTCTAACAATTGGTGAGGTATAACTGGTTTTGCTTTGGCTGGAAGCTATAAACATACTAGTATAATTTATTGACTAGTATTTTGAAGAGTTCTTTATCAATCTAACTTCTTACCACTTGGTCATGTGTTGTCTTTAGCTTTTTAAATGTGGATTTAACTGTGACAACTCTTTATCATTAGAATACCATAAGTTTTTGACTTAGCGTCTTCAATTTCTTTTACATGTTAGTATTTCTTAAGTCAGGTGGGCAATTCTTAACTTATTCTTTGGAATTGTACAGAAATTTCTTGAGCATGATTTTCTTCTAGAAAAATTATCTCGTTTAGCTCCAATATATACTGTCATGGAAGGTAGTGAGCCAGCTTTCTTCACTCGCTTCTTTAAATGGGAGTCCGCAAAATCTGCAGTAAGTTTTTCAATGTAATAGCATAATTTATGACTTTGAATAGTCTTAAAATTCTGACTATCGATAATTCCTTTTTTTGGTAGATGCTGGGAAACTCATTTCAAAGGAAGCTTACAATCATGAAAAATGGGGGTGCTCCACCTTTGATTGTAAGCCATTTTTTCTTTGCTTCCTTCACAATCTTCAATAACTGCTTTTTGAAGAACGAGGAGTGACCACTGGGAACTCTTTCAGTCTGAATTTCCATATTATTGTCACGTCTTATTTTATATCTTTCTTTGATAACTGTTACGAGTGAAATACTTTTATCCTACAAAGGATTCTGTCTCCAACCAAAATCACTTTTCATTATCATTTTTCCTTGTTAAGAGTTTGAGGAATGAAACTGTGTTTCTACCTAAGGGAATTTTTCAAACCCATTTTTGATTCATTAATGTAATGATTATAGGTATACTAATGTATAAAACTTTAAAATAGCAATTCATTATAACTGGAACTAATTAAGGCTGTGTGAATAATGATTAATGGATTAAAGTAGTCATTAAGTTGTACATATTTAGTGCCAATTATATTAATTATCAAAAAGAGTTGGATGCGGTGGAAAGGGAGGCGTTCTCTGAGGGTGAGAACGGAAGTTAAAATTATGGAGAAGGCTGGATGGATTAGTTTTACCGCAATGTCTGTAGGGATATCCTGGTAAAAATAAATAAATAAATACTGAAGTGTGGCATAAGCATTTGAAATGAGTCAACCAAGAGTCACAGCAGGAAGTCAATGATATAATAGAAAGACACTGCTTCTTTTCTACAATTAATTGTTGCTTGGTCTCATATTAAAGCTTGAAGAAACTTTTAAACATGCTTTCCTTATTGCTACGTTGAATAAAATTAGGTAATTTCGAAAGTGAACTACACAGGGTTGATTGAAGAGAATATTATCTTAGTATTGAATTCAAGGATCTGAAATAAGTGCTGATCCTTTGTAGAGGAGAGGGTGGATACGGTTCTGACATGATGTAAAAACCATACTCTTTTGGGCTTTAACTGACATGTGTCTCACTCTCAGAGAGTTCTGATTCTAATGTACTTCATCTATTATTTTTTTTGAACTTAACGGAAAAAAGGTTACAAAGCTGGGCACATTCTTAAATGAGAAATGCCCCTCATATCAGTATCTAAGACAGCAACACAATCTCTAGGTGGCTGTTCAAAAACATGCATGTCCCAATCATCAAAACAATAACCCATGTCAGCTAGTCTATCCGCAAGCGCATTGCCCTCCCTGTAGGCATGGCTGAACTTCAGAGTCCAGGATCTTTGTGTCAATTCTCTAATCTTGTTAACCAACGGGGCTTGTGGATGGTGCCTTTCACATTGGACATCCACCAGCTGCATAACTGTTTGCGAATCCCCTTCCACCCAAAGCATAACTGTACTTCATCTATTAATTTGCTCTACCTTATTGCTTTATAGGGAAAGCACTATTAATCAATATTTTGTTTGTATCTGCATTTATCTGTTTGGTTGTTGAATTATCAGAAACCCAAACGAAGAGCAACAGTATCTTATGGGGGAAGGTCTGTTAGTGTGCCAGATAAATCCCAGCGTTCACGGAGCATGTCTGTTAGTGCTGACCATGTTCGTGTGAGGGGAAGATCTCCAGCCTTTAATGCACTAGCAGCTACCTTCGAGAGCCCAAAAGATAGGAACCTTTCAACTCCACCTCCAATGATTAGAAAACTGTACCCAAAATCTATGACACCGGATTCGGCAAATCTGGCATCTAAATCTTCAGCCATAGCTCGACTTAGTTCTAGTTTTGAACCTACAGCACGAGAAAATTTGATTCCTCGATCAGTGAAAGGTATGCAATGGATGAGTTCATTGACATTTGATATTAGTTTTAGAATTTGCTCTAACTGTAAATGCCTTTTTCTCTTCTCTTGGTTGTTATGATGTGCAGGGAGTTCAGATACCTCCAAATCAAACCCTGAGACAAATGACAAGGAGGATTCTATGAGCAGTATACAGGAAGGTATGCAAGAGGGAGAAGCTGAAGATGATGAAGGTGTCCCAGTTTACCCATATGAACGCATTAATACAGCTTCTACAGATCCTGTAGAAGACATTGACGTTACTAAAAGAGAGGTATAATGAAAATATGTAGATATAGCATCTCTTTTCTTGTCATCTTTTTTCTAGTTTTTCCTCCGTTCTTTGGGAAATTGCATCTTATAATTAAGCTTTATTTCATTTTAGTACTAAATTGTTTGAGCTTCATGCGAGTACAGGCTTATTTGTCATCTGCGGAGTTCAAAGAGAAATTTGGAATGGTTAAGAGCGATTTCTACAAGTTGCCAAAATGGAAACAGAACAAACTCAAAATGGCCATTCAGTTGTTCTGAATCTTAAAGCATGCTTTGCCTTCTGTCTGCTCCGTGCAGTTCAGGTTGCAGGAAGAAGGAATTTGCTTGTCAAAGTTTAATTTTTTTTCCCCTTAGCAACACACCTTTAAACGGTAGAATCTCATGATTAGTGAGACCAGCATGAGATTTCGTTTGTTTATTGAATGGAGATTGGAGAGTATTGCATAGCTCGGGGAGCTTGCTATCTGTTTTGCACTGTGAAACTGAACATGTGGAATGAAAGGGACTGCATCAGTGTTTAACATAGCTGCCTCTGCTCCCAAGAAGCTTTTTCATATTGAAGATAGAAATAGAGTTTGTTTTCTTTGCACTGGTTTGATGTTTAGGGTTCTTTCTTTGATGATAGCTGCTTGGATTTAAATTTATTGGGCAAGGGTTGTTTGTGAGCTTGCCTTTTTGGGTTTCTTGTTAACCATTTTTTCATTCAAAATTGATTTGGCGCAGCAATTGGGCTTGCAATACTTAGGTTGTATGATAACTGAGATGAAGTTGTACAGTGTGTAAAAAATACTTGTTATTTATTTGGAAATAAATGTGTGTTTCTTTTCCTTCTCAATTACAGTGTTTCAACATTTTACCTTGATCATATATAATGCGTGTAGAGTACTTTTGCCTCGACTCGTAAAAATCTGAACTCATATGTCTAAGAATTGATTGTTGGAATCAGATTTGAATTTGTATAAAAACTCATTTAATAAAAAAACTTCAAGCTCCAATTCAAAAGTCTGGTCTTAGAGTCTTTCGGACTGGCCTAGTATACTAATTTTTATTTTTATTTTATTTTTTTTACTACTCATAATAGCTCTCTCTTTCTCCTCAATCCATTTCACCACATTTTATTAATTAAACAAACTTTTTGAATGATTTTGTTCTATATTGTGTTGTTTGAATATATATTGAATTTATGAATTTTTGTAGAATTATTAGTGCTATTGATTGTATATTTTGCTTGGATAAATTTTAGTTGTCTTATTTTTTTAATAGGTTAAACCAGACTTTTATTTTTTGTAAATAAGCTAGGCCATAGGCCGATAATTATATTCATAACAGATAACAGGTTAGGTCAGACTGATATATTTAAACACAGACTTAGTTTTTTAAGACTAAAGCCGGGTCTGGCTCGGCCAATTAACACCCCTGATTGTGCGTCCAAGCACTTGGGCTAAGGAGAAAACATAGATATTTCTTATCAACTTGCTTTATCTTTTTGCCCCCAAGTAATAGTCTATAACCCTCATTGCAAAGATTAATGAAGTTTAATTACTCCAAATATAAATAATATTTTTTCATGTGCTAGCCAAACAATTATGTTAAGTTCTTGCGTAAGGACTCGATATGGCGGATGCATCAAACTGAATGAAGAGCATAACACCATTTTTATAATCTTTGCAATTCATTTGCAATTCACATCGTCTAAATAAACTTGTGAATGTGAATAAAAAAGCATAATTGTCTAAATACAAGTGTGAATATAAATAAAAAGTATCCTTAGAAAAGTGGTCATTTTGACTTCTCTATTCAAATGATGCATCTGAGCTGACTCGCTTGGATTGGACTTTTTTATTATTTATTTTTTTATTTAGAAAATTTTAATAATTGCTAGTTATTTCCTTCTTGTTATTTTAGATTATGTTTGAGTGTGCGTTGATTGTGCGTTATCTCCTTTGATTGCGCATGATTATAGTTATTTACTTTTTTTGTTATTTTGTTTTTGCCTATTTAAGGCTTGGAGAACTCTATTGTTAGGAGGTTGTTTTTGGTTAAATAAAATTAAGAAAAGAGAAATAGTATTTTCTCGCAATCCTTGTGTTCGTTCTTATTTCTGTTTAGTCAATTGGTTACTGTTTTAGGATTATTTGGTAATCAGAGCTCTGGTTGTCACATAAATGGTTGAACAGAACAATGGCGGTCGAAGTCAAGGTCGTGGACGACGGGGTGAGGCGACGGTGACAGTAGAGGGCATGTTAACACCCTTAACGATGACGGCGAACAACCACACATTGACGTGCGACACACCATAATTGTAGCAATGGCTGCTACATTGGCAGAACATGGTAGGCAAATTGCTCTGGTTGTCACATAAATGGCTGAACAGAACAATGGCGGTCGAAGTCAAGGTCGTGGACGACGGGGTCGAGGCGACGGCGACAGTAGAGGGCATGTTAACACCCTTAACGTTGACAGCGAACAACCACACATTGACGTGCGACACACCATAATTGTAGCAATGCCTGCTACATTGGCAGAACATGGTAGGCGAATTCAGGAGCTCGAACAACTGTTTGTCCAAACACAGTTGGACGAGTCAGATGAATGAAGGGAATCTGAAAGATCATCTCATGAGGAGGAAAGGAGCAAAAACTCATTCTGGAATTGGAATGAGGAGCGACGAGGACGAAGTCAACCTCGAAATCAATCCTTTTTTTGCTAATATTGGGTGAAGATTGAGATCCAGGAATTCGAGGGCATCACTCATACAGATGAGTTTATCGACGGGTCACACATCGTCGAAAAGGTCTTTGACATCATAGACTTGACAGAAGACCAGAAGTTCCCGATCTATGATGAATATGATGAAGAGCAAGATGATGAGAATCCTGTTATGGATGCTCCAATTTATGACGAGTTCCCTATCTATGATAAGTATGATTGGGAGCAAGGCGACAAGAATCCAGAGGTGGAAGAAATCTCTTGTAGTGATTCCAATAGGAAGTCAGTTATTAGAAATTCTAATATCTCTGACAAAGATGAAGTTCTAACCAAAAATATCATGCAGAATGATCCTTCACCCAAGAAGTCTTTAGTTTGCAAGCAGTATTATGAATTTGGGGACAACGAGCATAACAACTTTATGCTCAATGGAGATAAAGATTTAGCTTTTGGTAAAAGCTTAATTTGAGATCGTCAAGGGCAATGGGACTTGTTGGTACACCAGACAAAGTTTTCCTACGACGGATCACAGATGCGATCATTGATCCAAACTACAAATGAATATACCAAGAATATCAAAGAATCGCATTTTCAATTCCTAATCTTAATTAGGAAATTTGGTGATATTGTACCAGAAGAGTTACCACCTGGGTTACCACCTGAAGAAGTTCATATCAATGAAGACGAAACAGATTCGAGAGCGAATCTTTTTCAAGTGGAAGAGAATGATGCACTCGAGCTGACTCGCTTGGATTGGACTTTTTCATTATTTATTTCTTTATTTAGGAAATTTTAATAATTGCTAGTTATTTCCTTTTTGTTATTTTAGATTATGTTTGAGTGTGCGTTGATTGTGCGTTATCTCCTTTGATTGCGCATGATTATAGTTATTTACTTTTTTTGTTATTTTATTTTTGCCTATTTAAGGCTTGGAGAACCCTATTGTTAGGAGGTTGTTTTTAGTTAAATAAAATTAAGAAAAGAGAATAGTATTTTCTCGCAATCCTTGTGTTCGTTCTTATTTCTGTTTAGCCAATTGGTTACTGCTTTGGCATTACTATTTATAACCAGATTTTTGACCGTATTAATGAAGTTCTTAGAACATTTTATTGGATCAATATAAAATTGAAATACTTTATCTAAATAATGTAGTGAGACACATATTCAAGTTTCAAATAGGATATCTGTGATCAAGTCGTTGTATGAGATATGCATGACTTTCACAATGACAAACGAGCGCTATATGGAGTGTGCATCCCCTGTCAATAACTTGAACTCTCACGTCCCATGCACAATTTAAATATGTGCATCTCTACATACAACTTAAATGCACACATTCTATAAATGCACATATTTCATTGTATTATTTTAATAAAATCTTTTTAAGCTATACATCAATCAATCAGATAAAAACTTTCAAATTTTGCATGGTAATGAAGCCCATATCGCAGTATCATCCTACATGGCACATAAATTTTTTTTTTTTTTTTTTTCAAACTAGAATAAGTTTTAAATAAGTCTTAAAACCATATCAAGTTGACTTGTTTTTGCGTTTACATTACATTAGGGTAAAACCAAGAAAATGCAAAAAAGATAGAAGATGTTGAGAGAATATGAATAGTCTTCATGAAATAATAATCTGATACTAAGTTCTAATATTTCAAACAAAAACAACCACTGAATAACAACTCTTAATATTAACTCCTAAGGAGTAAGGAACTCAATAGAATCAGCTGTGATTCTGGTACTGGTACAGGGAGCTGCTAATCTGCCTGTCCGTTACTCACAGTAATGCTCAACACATCTTTGAAGATAGCTGAAGGCACTTAGGGCAGTATCTCTTTCAATAATAGTACTAATCTTATTTCAATGATAAGATATACTGTATAAAAATGTTTCATACACATGAACATCACAAAAGACTTGTTCCTTAGATGATATATCTGCGTTTTATTTTCCATATCTATCGTTGCTCTTTCTTATGATAGTATTACAATTTGTATATGGAAAGGAAATTAGCAGTATATTTTTCCCAAAACGTTATTTATGTAATAAAGTTATATTTTCTGTAATTTCAAAACCATGTTTTGAGAAAAAAGATACAGGATATTTTAGTTAAATCAGGAAAGTAAAATTTTTAAAATATTCTAATTTTTTTCCTAAACCCAAAAATAACGTCATTTTGAAATTGTTAGAGATAATTTTATCTCACTTTCCCCATTTTTTGTTATATTTTTTAAAATAATTTTATGAATTTATTTTTTGTTTAACGAAACTGGATAAACATCGAGTACATATAACATGGATCTGTCAATGTTAAGAATTGCTACGAAAAATGGTAAAAATTAATAAGAAAAAATTATAAAAAAAAGTAAATAAAAATGGATTTTAGAAAATAACAAATGAGATTTTCCTACAAGTCTTAATAAAATTAGCCTTGTTACTACAATCAGATAAATAAAATTTTGGAAACTTTAGGTAAAGTGGAAATTTATAAAAAAAAAAAAAAAAAAATGGAAACTTTGATAAAAATTTATAAAAAACAAATAAAATGGAAACTTGCTCTTTGCTTTTAGTTTGGAAACTTTGGTACCCTTGCCCCAAAATATGTAATAGCATATAACCTTCATTGCAAGTCACGGCAAGGAAGAAGCTATCCAGACAATTCTGTTACGTTCTTGTGTGACTAGTTAATGCCTATTGGTGGATGCATCAAACCGAATGAAGGGCACAATGCTATTTCAATCCATTTCGCAATTCAAATTGTTCAAATACATTTTTGAATCTGAACAAGAAAGCATCATTCCAAAATGCTCCATATTCTTTTTCCAAGTAAAATAAGTTATAAATTAGTCTAAAAACCGTGTCACGTTGGTTTCTTTCTTTTCATGTTTACAATACAGGAGGGTAAAACCGAGAAAACTCAGGAAAATGCAGAAAAGATAGAAGATGTTTAGACTTTAGAGAATATAAAAAGTCTTCATGAATTCAAAGAATTATACTGGGATATACAGAGTTCTGATATTTACATGATAGAAAACCGAATAGTAATTCCTAACTAACACAACGGAATCAGTTGTGACTCTGGTACGCCGGGAGCTGCTAATCTCCCTGTCTGTTGCTGAAAGTAATGTTGAACACATCTTTGAAGATAACTGAAGTCACTTAAGTAGACAATATCGCTTACAATAATAATATTCACACACATGAACGTCACAATACACATGAGTTTATTGAGGAAAAGATACCAATAGCCTGTAACTATGAGTAACACAGAGATCGTTCTTCTTCCTCCTTCTCCTTCTCCTTCTCCTTCTCCTTCTCCTCCTCCTTCTTCTTCTTCTCCTCCTTCTTCTCCTTCTTCTGCTTCTTCTCCTGCTTCTGCTTCTTCTCCTTCTTCTGCTTCTTCTTCTTCTTTCTTCCTCCTCTTCTTCTTCCTCTTCCTCTCCTTCTTCTTCTCCTTCTTCTTACTCTTCTTCTTCTCCTTCTTCCTCTTCCTCTTCCTCTTCCTTCTTTTTCTTCTTCTTTCTTCTTCTTCTTCTTCTTCTTCTTCGTCTTCTTCTTCCTCCTCCTCCCCCTCCTCCTCCTCCTCCTCTTCTTCTTCTTCTTCTTCTTCTTCCTCTTCTTCTTCTTCTCCTCCTCCTTCTTCTTCTTCTCCTTCTTCTCCTCCTCCTTCTTCTTCTTCTCCTTCTTCTCCTTCTTCTCCTTCTTCTTCTTCAAGAAACCTCAAATTGTGCAAGGGCATATCAATGGCCTCTTCTTCTGCTTCAAGAAACTACAAATTGTGCAAGGGCATCAATGGCCTCGACAAGGTCCTTATTCACAATGCTCGTGGATGCTCCGCCGAGGTCCTTTTCCTCCTATTTTATACATGCATCTCTTTATCTTGGTTTGTTTCTTTAATGTCGTTTTTTCGGTTTTGGTGGTGTCTTGCGGTACGTCAGTAGCCATTATCGAATGGAGAGTACTGATCTCACATGAGTTTAATTTGGATCAAGATTTGTTATCAACTAGAAAAATTTGATCTCTAAGGACTATTTATATACTAAAACTATTTGATTCTTTTAGGCTAATTCTCAGCCAAATAAATTTTAGTTTCATTTCTGTTTTTATTTTGTTATTTTCAGGTGTACTTATACGGTGGCCATGTGACTTCTTGGAAGAATGAGCATGGCCAGGAATTGCTTTTTCTCAGTAGGAAGGTACAGTATATACATACCATGTTAATTAATATTTATAGGTTAAGTGCGAGATTTGACTGAACAACAATAGGATCTTTCTGAATTTCTACAGCTTAATTTTCTCTTAGAATATTAATCTGAAATGGCCTAACACCAGGCATTATTTATTTGCTGAATAAATCATAATTGAATAAATGCTTTGAACTTTTATTGCAAATGTGATACTCCTAATTTGATTAATCCTAGCAAAAATCTAAAGTGCTGGCCATCTTTTTTGATATTAGCTGATAAATGAGAATGAGAGAGGTGGTAACATATATAGCTTATCATTAAACAAATTTTATTATCGTTTGGCTTCGATGTTGGCTATCTCTTATCTTCTTCATCAGCTGCGTTTTGTTTCATTTGTGAAAACAAGAAGAGTCAAACGCATTGCATTTTCCTTTTGTGTGCACAATGAAACTTCATAACATGTAGTGTTCTCATCTATCAGATTCATTAAGTTTTTTTTATTGTTATTTATCTATCTGCCATTTGTTGCGACATGTTACGTGGTTCAAAGATATATGTTCTTTTTCCTTCGTTCTGTTAGTTTTTATTTTATTTTCTTTGTAGGGCAATAGCCCAAAATCTCAGTTAAAAATAGGAAAATAATATTGTGTCATTCTTTTATTACTTTTTATTTTTTTAATGTGAAAAGGACAAAAAAAACTTAACCTCTTTCTTTTTCTTTCTTTTTTCTTTTTCCTTATTCTGATGATAATTTCTTTAAGTTTTAGGTTTTTTTTGTTCTATTATTGTTATCTGTTATTTGTGTTTTTTTTGTGTGTGTACAGTTCTGGTCTATGCTTTATAAATCAAGAGCAAAACCGCCGGCCAAGCATTTCTATGTAAATTCGACTTGTAAATAGTAACTCGTATTGGGTATTGTTTTGAGAAATTAAAATTAGGCCCAAATTTAAAATGAGTGAGTTGCATATTTGATTAAGCATTATTAGTAGATTTAATTTATGTTAAATATTTAGATTTCTTTAGTTTAACAAATTTTTTATATTTAGTCATTATTCTTTTATTGCTAATAATTCTTTTATCTTATTATTATTTGTAATTGTTGTATATCTGTTAATTTGAGAAAAAAAAATATTACACTTTTATAAAAAGAAGAATCAGTTAAGCTTGATTTCTTAAAATTTTAGAGTAATTTTGACGGATAGTGTGATGACTGGAATCTTATTTTTATTTTAATAATAATAATGATAAACAATTAATTGTATTTTTTTTGGATAAATTTAAAAATAAAACATAAAAAATTAAAAAGAAATTAATTGAAATGTGACAACTTATTAATCTCTCAATTTTTAGTGTAATTTTAACCAGTGACTATTTTAAATAATAGTGTTAGAAAACAGACAAACAACTGTTACAAAGCCAAATAAGTTGAGCTGTATTGTGGAACGTGGATTCTTATGAAGTGAGTGCCAACATCCAGATAAATATTTCTTTAACTTGGGCAGATAGGTAAATAACCTCTGTTAGGAATAATTTTATTTGCAACCTAATTCTGGAGCATTATCATTATATATACCACAAACGGACAAAATTTGCATGGCTGCACTACTTGCCTTGTTTATAGAACTTGGGCTGTTGGTTTGTAATTGTCATGCTGAACTTCTCAGTTTTATTTATTCTTAGTTTTATATATTGGAGAGGATCTGATCATGGGATTCACGTATCAAAACTGGCATGGAAATACTTGTGTTTCTATTTTGGTTAAATTTTGAATATTAAATGTTTTATAAATTTTGGTTAATCTTTTCTCAAAAGTTTTATTTATTCTTAGTTTTATATGTTGGAGAGGATCTAATCATGGGATTCTTAGTTAAGGGCAGAATTAGTGAAAAATATTTGAGTATGGTCTATCAATGTGATTACATTTTTTAAAATTTTCAACTCCAGCAATGAGATTGATAAGCTCTGGTTCATCTTGTTTTATCAATATTGTGCAATATTTGTGCAGGCTAAATTCGAGCCTCCAATGGCAATCCGCGGAGGGATTGCAATAAGCTTTCCTCAAGTATGTACTTAGCATGACAATATTGATTGCTGTTTTCTACGATTTCTATCATCATGATAAGGCTGCTTTGCAATGAGAAGGAGAATAGCTAGAAATTGGAGTAGAAGGGGAGAAAAGAGATGATATGGAAAAGTGCTAATAGCTCATGTATTATAGAGCTTCAAAAAATGATAAAGTTGTAAAGATAAACCCCATATCATTAATTCTGCTAGAAAAATAAAAGCCTAATATCATATCTCTTGTGATCTTATATAATATTGAAAAAAAATCAGATGTACTTTGGTTATCATTGTAAATTGTAATGACCCTATAAAATTGGTCATGTTACTGCAATCAGATTCTAGATTAATTACATGATCAAGGAAACTTGCTCTCTGTTTGCAGTTTGCAAGCCATGGCGAACTTGACCCGCATGGATTTGTTAGAAACCAGTTCTGGACCATTGATGATTGCCCTCCCGATCCTTCAACAAATAATTTGAATAAAGACTTTGTTGATTTGATTTTTAAACCCACAGAAAACGACATGGAGATTTGGCCTCACAGGTATATATAGGAACATTAGACACTTTTAGCTACATTTAAGAGAACATTCTTTAACCCATATGGCCTTTGTTTATATTATATTTCTTTCAGATATCATATGTCTTTCTTTTTGCATATAGTTTTGAAATACGTCTTAGGGTAGCTCTGGGACCTGAAGGAGATCTGATGTTGACATCTCGGATTAGGAACTTAAACACTGAATGGGAGCGGTTTTCATTCACCTTTGCTTATCATGCATATTTCTGTGTGTCAGATATAAGGTAAGTACTGGAAATGTATTCTGTCTCAAACTTAAATATGAAAATTTTGTATTAATGTGATTTTATTTATGTTGTTGAAGACGGTGGGTAAATGATCACCAAAAGACTTAAATTCGTATGTAACACAGATATTTAAAATTAGATCAACAGTTAGAGTACAGTGAGAAAAATAAGAATAGAGTCACATTATGTAGGGAAAATAAGATTAACGAAAGTATGCAATCCTTAAAACGGATTGCGCCTCAAGAATTAATGATGACAACTACCAACCAAGAGCCCGAATGAACAAGTGTAACAGAATGTCTAAGGAATCATAGGAATCTATGAATGTCTAAGTAACGATGCAATGTCTAAGGAATCACAGGAATCTAACGATGCAGCAAATCGGATGATTTTTCTGACGCCTATATATAGAAGCCAAAAAGTCACAATGAATCGCCACCGGCTAACAGCCACGATGGACGGCGGCCAAGCAATGTGACCGGTCATCACAGGAATCTATGAATGTCTAAGGAATCTATGAATGTCTAAGTAACGATGCAGCAAATCGGATGATTTTTCTGACGCCTATATATAGAAGCCAAAAAGTCACAATGAATCGCCACCGGTTAACAGCCACGATGGACGGCGGCCAAGCAATGCGACCGGTGATCTGTTCGATTCAGAATGAAACCGAAAGATAAGAACCGGTCGGTTCAAAAAAAAGTGGGAAGCAACGTCTTGATTTAAATAATTCAGATGGAAACAACGAATAATACTGTGAGATAGGAGTTTATATACCTTCTCACTTCTTATTAGTTGTCCAATGTGAGACTTTTTATAACCCACATCCTCCCCCTCTCTCTTTTTTCTTCCAAACTCCTTATCCATAACTCATGGAGTTTTTTATACTCAAATTCTAACAATTTATTTATTAATTGACTCTGTTGTCAAATTTAACTAGTAACTTTTGGATTTGGTTGAGAACCGGTTCTAGATCCAGAACAAGCGAATAAAATTATGCGAGAGATATAAAATAAAATTGTAAAGAATTATTTTAAATTAAAATTTTAATCTAATTACGTTAATAATTTTATATTATATTTATGTAACCACATGAACTTTGAAATCTATTCCTTATTAAGATTGACTATTTTTTTGGATCTGCATGACAATGTGGATATTGTCTTTCAAACTTCTAAAATCGACCTTTGGATTTATGGCTTTTGGTATGTGAAGGTGCAAAAAATTTCAAAGTGTTTTGAAATAAAAATAGAAATAATTTAAAACTATAATTTCTTGAATTAAGAAGCATGCAAATTCCATCACTTTGACCATGTACATTTTTTAAGGTGCATATACATAGACAAAAATGTATCTTTAGTGTTGTAAGGTATTCAAGCTTGGTTAAATTTATGAACCTTTGTGATCAAATTAGAAACGTTTTGTTGTATATATCCTATAGTATCTTTTGTTTTTCTTCATTTTATTTACTAATTTAATTTTCTCTTTTTAATTGACCTTTATTTTGGATTACTGTCAGTTCAGTGATTTATTTTTATTTTTATTTTTTTTAGGGATATACTTGAAGCCTGTAGTTTTGAATTGCATTTATCTAGTTTGTTTGCTTGTATTCAGTGAAGTTCGGGTAGAGGGATTAGAGACAGAGCATTATATTGACAACCTGAAGAAAAAGGAACGCTTTACTGAACAGGGGGATGCTTTAACATTTGAATCAGAAGTAAGATGCGTTTATCCTGTTCCACTTTGCTTTAGAAAGCACAGATGCTGGTATTATAGTAAATATGATAAAAGTAATAAGTCGCTTTCTGTAAAATGTAGGTTCTAGATTTATTAGGGTAAATTGAATTAATTGTTATGAATAATATATATATATATATATGGAAATCATCGTTTACAAATTCTTTTTACAAATTACACTAATTTTTGATTATAAATGGTTAACAAGATTTACTGTGTAAAATGTAGGTTCTAGATTTGCTATGAATTAAAAACACCATCAACCAATTTTTGGATTGAAATGGTTGTTTAATTTACACCAATGCTGATGTAATGATGTTTCATAGGCTTTGGTGAGTTCAAACTGATGCTCCTCTTTTTCTTTTCATATGATAGGTTAACAAGATTTATCTCAACACTCCCACAAAGATAGCAATTATTGATCATGCCAAAAAGAGAACAATTGAATTACGTAAAGATGGTCTTCGTGATGCTGGTGAGCATTATCAGGCTCATCTTGTGTACTCAGATTGTGCTACTGATTAAGTTTACTGCTGCGACTCTATTATCTGAAGCTATATAATTTAAGAATATAAAATTATGCTTTGTAAATGTGTAAATAAAGAAAAATGGAACGAGATAGAGGGAAAAGTCAAGTTTATCAGTAGAGTACATAGCTTAAAGCATTTATCTGTTTTCATCTCCGTGTCTAAATTACATAAACCTTTTTCTTAGTTTCCCCTCCCATATTTAAGAAACCTTTTTTTTATCTCATTAATTATTTATCTATGCAGCGGTATTGAATCCTTGGGATAAGTCGGCAAAGGCTATGACTGATTTTGGTAATAATGATTATAAGCATATGCTTTGTGTAGACGCTGCTGCTTTTGAAAAGCCTATCAAATTAAGAGCTGGCGAAGAATGGGAAGGAAGACTAGTACTTGCAGCTGTTCCTTCTAGTTATTGTAGTGGGCGCGCGGCTTGATCCTGTACAGTTAATAACTGCATATTGGTATATTTCAGAGGGACCTATAGTTTTTATTTTTTAAAAAAGATTAAATTGGAATGAAGATCCAAAATATACTTCACTCGAGCTTCCATCTTCTAAATTTGGGCTTGGGCTTTCAAATTAGGGCCGCATCTTAAAAGTACCCAATTGTGGTTTTCATATTAGACCAAGCTTGACTCTTGTGCTTTGATACTTGGAGACCTGATTGATCAATCTTGTCCTTTTTTTTCTTTTTTTCTTTTTCGGATACATTGTTCCGTTGTCCTTTCGTATTCTGTCATTTACATACACATGTTGGTCCAGTTAAATATTTCACTAATATTTTAGAAAAATATTTATCAACAGGTAACTTGTTGGTAGAGCGATGAATGATGAAAGGGAAGTTTTTCCTAGAAAATTTTCTCCTCCGTGTTCCATTTGAACCTTCGTTGTATTCGATCATAACAAACTGACGTATAAGTAGAATAGTCCACACTTATTACCCAAAAAAAAAAAGAATAGTCCACACTTGTTATGGAAAATCAAAATTACAGACTATAATTCACCAGATTTTCATGTTGGGTTGAATGGCCCAGAACAGATGAATTACAATTCAACACGGGAATATGCCAAATCAAAAATGCTTTTTTTTCTTCATTTGGTTTAACATCCATTTGTGAGTGATATCATCGTGTGCTGCCGTGGTGATTGATCGTGATGGAGGTGAACTCAGCCGCAAACATGGGTTTGAGCTAAGAAAGTTAATAAATTTAAATTTGTTAATTTGATTTAATGCGTGGGCACTTGAGCAAACTATATTTTGAAATAGCAAATTATTAGTTTGGTCCTGCCACTTCAGAATTGTTGATTATTTGGATTAATTTGTTGACTTGTATTTTTTTAATTCATTTATACAATGATAAGTTAAATATTAATTTTAAATAATTTAAATTTTTAAATTAATTATGAGAAAAGTATTTCTCCAGTCACCGGACATAAAGTTATCTCCAGTGAACTTAAAACGACGTCGTTTTGGGATTATAAGATTAAAAAATTATAACGATAAAGACTAATATACCCCTGCAATATATTATAATTATAAAAATACTTTAATCTCGGTCCCAAAACGATGTCGTTTTGGACTCACTGGAGATAATTTTATCTCCATTGACTGAAGAAGTCATTTACCCATTAATTATTAGTATTGAAAAGATTTTAAAATTATTATTATTACTTTAAATAGATGTATGCATGTTTGTTTTAAAATTAGATAAAATTTCAAAAGAGAAATTTAATAAGAGGAAGGTTATACTTACAACCTATTTCCGTTTACAACTCCTTACAATCATATCTTAATAGCTGATTTTCGCCAATCAACTGTTATCATTTATTGTAAATTAATAATTAATTAATAAATTTGATTTATGAAAATAATAACCATTGATTGATGAAAATCAACGATTAAAATATGATTGTAAAATATTATAAATAAAAATAGGTCGTAAGCATAACCTTTCTTATTTAATAATTATAATACTTAATTATGATATTTCATACTAGCCATAAATTTATGGTTAATATTATAAAATGATAGTCTTAATTATGACACAAATTTATCCTACAATATATCTTCAATATCATCAGAGTAGATACTCTTTCACTAAAAATAAGAAAAAGCATGACTCAAGTGACATTAATCATAAAGGAATAGTGGAATAAGAACAGACAAATGAATTTTTTTTAACTATAGAAAATGATATATTGAGTATTTAGTACTAGGGAGTGTCAGAGATATTTTCCTACCAAAGACTATGCTATCTACCAAACCGGCTTAGTTTCTCTCCCTCTGTCTTGGTTTCCTCTGCTTGCAGTTGCAGAGTTACCCTTGGCTTTTTTGGTAACTATCGTATATACCTAAGCAACTCATAGCTTGTCTGTGATTATGAGTTTCCAATTTTGCCTCTCAGTTTTTTCTTTTATAATTTTGCTCTTAACATCAAGTCGACGATAATGTTGTTTTTCTGAATGACTTTCTATGCAATCCAACTTGAAGCGGCCACTAGGCAAGGCTTCCATATATATATATATATATATATATATATATATATATATATATATATATATATATATATATATATATGTCATCATCATTTTATATCAGTGTAAATTACATTCTCAATCTTATTTGTTGATTCCATTTATATCTAAGGGCTTAAATTTTTTAATAATGTGAGTCATTGAATACAAGTGGATCATATCAATGATCAAGATTGAGTGTAAGACTTCTAACTCTTACACAGGTAAAAGAATATCCTATCCATATATATATATATATATATATATATATATATATATATCAGTCCCTCGTAGTAGAGTTACGCGCGAGTCATGGTGTCCGACTCCGATGCATTGCTTTTGTGGTAGCGTATATATATACATTATCAAATTGCTTTGTGGTAGCCGATATCATTGGCATATTTGTTGTTCGTTTATGATTGAATTACAAGAGTTGGTCAAACTTCAAAGTTTGTACTATTGTTGCCTTGCGGTGTCATGTGCTTGGATAGAATGTGCTTGTTCATGGTCATATAATAATAGTAATAAAAAAATAAGGATATCCTTTTAAAAAAGTATAATAATGTCTCATTATCATTATTGGAAAAATAGCTTCCCTACTAGTCTTTGGTCGTTCATTTGTGCAACTCAACGTATTAATTTAGTAATCATCTAGCTGGTAGACTAGTACTTACTGAATGTTCAAATTAAGATGCCATATTATATAATGATAAATTGAACTCCCACTTGAGAAATTAAATCAAGGTCTTAAGAGTTATCTCGAAATTGGCCAAAATTAAGGTACCTCTTGCGTCTTGGCAAACTTGACATAGGCATAAAGAAGAAATGGTCTCATTTGCTACCTCTTAACCTATTGGTGTTTTTTTAAAGAGAGATTCAGGCGTTGATCAAGGAAATCAATCAACGATCAAATTCAATTGTTTATTTCACGTAACATGTATTTACTTACATACCCAAAAAAAAAAAAAAAAAAAACATGTATTTACAGTAACATGATAAAAGCGTGGAAGAAAGAAGGAGGAACAAAACTATATACTATATAGACTAGAAGACCCCTAAACGTTGAAAAGTAATACCTCAATTAACGTCGCCTTTATACTAGACGACTTCAATAATAATAATAATTATTATTATTATTGATGGTGTCATATATATATAATTTAGATAACAAAGTTTGTAATATGTTAATTTAAAATAAGAGTAGTGATAAACTTATTAATATTTATTTAAAATAGCATTATTTTGCACACAAAAATATACCTTAATTCCCGGTCAGTTCATAAATTAAAATTCCGTTGATTATCGGGAACATGCTTATCCGTGGTCCCGCACGCCTACCATCCCTTTATTACTATTATTATCGTCATTCATATAAAGTATAAGAGTAGATTCTATGACAGCCCAATCATCCCTCGCCAAATTCAACACGCCGATTAGATGCTTCACGCAACATAGTAGTCCTCAATTTTTAAAGGGTTAACTGTAGTCAATGTGGCCTCCTCAATCATCCACTATCTCAAAACAAATATCAGTTGCCAGACTGTCCATGTTACAGACCTTTGCTCTTACTCTCATCATCATTCATTAATTATGCTCCAATTATTAACTCCTTCAATTTCAACCCTTTTTTTGTTTCTCATTAATTTACATGTCAACTGTATTTATTTATTTTTGGTTGCTCAAGCTCAAGCTCAAGGGTGGGGTCATATATGCTGCTAACTGCATATCTATAAGTGGATAGATAGATAGATGTTGGAATGAGCAGCAAAACAAAAAACAGTTAGTGATGGAAGGTCCTCCTCGGTTTGTGGTGTTATCGTTGGTTATTATTATGTTGAGTATTACCACAAGTACATGCTCAGCTCAACTGACTCGTGGCTTCTACGGAAAAACATGCCCAAATGTTGAGCAGTTGGTACGCTCTGCCGTGGCGCAGAAGTTCCAGCAGACCTTTGTGACTGCTCCTGCCACTCTTCGACTCTTCTTCCATGATTGCTTTGTGCGGGTGTGTACACCTCCTTCGTCACTTTCATGTTTTTATCACGAGAGAAGATATTCTTATTACCAAAATATTCTACTACCAACTTATTACTTATCTAATTACCATGGGATCAAAGAGAGAATGCTAAAATGTTTTTGAAAAAAGAGAAGATGGTGATCCAATGATGATTAGATAGGTAGTGAGTTGATAGTAAAAAATTTTAGTAGTAATAATATCCTTCATCTTTTATTATATACATAATGAGATATGTTATATTTACAAAAAAAATTGTTTAAAAATTCTTATAAACTATGTTATGGGTAAGTATTACTCATAATACGTAATATAGTTTGTAAAAATTTAGAAACAAAAAATTTATAAATATAATCCTACTTCTATATAAGTTATCAAATAAGTTATCGTGGTTTGAGTTCACATAGCTCTTTCTTAATTCCCATTTTCTAGACAAAGTATACAAAATGATGTCATTAATTTAGTTATTGTGGTAATTAGAATAAAAGTTCCAAAACAAAAAATATTTAGTTTGTTCAAATGGTAAGGAATTTATTTTCCCTAATTAAAGATTTTAAATTCAAGCTGAAAATGAAGAAAATTATTTTGGGAGAAATGCCCTTTATATTAATAAGTAATGGATGAATTGATAGAAATATAAAAAAAAATGTAAAATGTAGCTAGGAGCTGGATTAAAGAGTCTGTAAAGTATCCCAGCTACTATTTTTCTTTTGAATATTTATATATGTGCACAATTTGGCATTCATGAACCTACACAAACTATACAGGTCCTATATGGCTAATACAATTGCTCTGTGCTTGTTAATATATGGATTATGCAAGCATATTCTAAAAAAAAAATTCCAATTAAACTCTAATGAAATTTGTGCATGTTTATCGTTTATACTAAAATGTAAATAGTAGTCTTTCAAAAAGGCTATTGATTTCGTTTTTACTTGTTAATTATTTTTGTACGTATGATGATGACAAAGTTGTTTGTGCACAGGGTTGTGATGCTTCGATTTTGCTTTCTTCTCCAAATAACAAGGCAGAGAAGGATAATCCTGATGACATTTCACTTGCTGGGGACGGCTTTGACACTGTTATTAAAGCCAAGGCAGCTGTTGATAGCGATCCTCAATGCCGAAACAAAGTCTCCTGTGCTGATATACTCGCTCTGGCTACTAGGGATGTTGTCAATTTGGTATCATTTCACTTTCTTTATTATTGTATCACTTTAATTTGATTCATGAAATTATTATTAAAGAATGATATAAACAAAGTACTTCATCCAACACCTTAAGATTTTGGGTTGAGATGGTTCTTTACATAGTATCAAAGAATATCCACAATTCAAGTCAAAGGGCTCTTGCGTGAGGGAGTGTATTAAAGAATAATATAAATCATTAAAATTGCTCTCATCCAACACCTTAAGGTTTTGGGTTGAAATAGTTCTTTACAGACCAAAATCTCTATTAGTTTACCTCCAAGCCAAATAATGAGCCAACTCCAACAATGTGTATTAAACATTATTACTCAAAATGAAACAAATTAAGGGGACAACAACTTTATAACCTTATTATGTCAATAAACAATCCTTAATTTCCAAGTCTATGCTCAAAAACAATACTCTGCATGCATGCATGCTAAACATCTTTTTACTACACTAAACTCTGATTATACTATTTGGCATTACTTTACTATTTACTAATAATAATCCTATAACTGCGTATTGTAGGCAGGGGGGCCATTTTATAATGTTGAATTAGGAAGGCGTGATGGGAGATTATCTACTATTGCTAGTGTTCAACATCATCTTCCTCACCCTGATTTCAACTTGAATCAACTCAATTCCATGTTTAGCTTTAATGGCCTCTCTCAGACAGATATGATTGCATTATCAGGTAATTTCATTAGCATAAAGAGGAGAGATTCTGTTTTCTTCAATCTTAAACCAGTTTTTTTTTTAATACGAAGCCTGAAAAGTAATGTGTTTTAATGTGTTAGGTGCACATACAATTGGGTTCTCTCATTGCAACAGATTCTCAGGACGAATCTACAACTTTAGCCCCAGAAGAACAATTGACCCAACACTAAATTTGCAATATGCCTTCCAGCTTAGACAAATGTGCCCTTTAAGAGTTGATCCTAGAATTGCCATAAACATGGACCCTGTCACGCCTCAAACGTTTGACAATCAGTACTTCAAGAATTTGCAGCAAGGAAAGGGTCTATTCACTTCTGATGAGGTGCTGTTTACAGATGCAAGGTCAAAGGCCACAGTTAACTTATTTGCATCAAATGAAGGAGCTTTTGATAGTGCTTTTGTTCAGGCTATTACCAAGATGGGAAGGATTGGTGTTAAAACTGGACATCAAGGTGAAATTAGGATTGATTGCACTCGGCCCAACTAGAAATTTTTTCTGCACTACTGTGATATCGTCATTCCTTTTTGGGGTTTATAGTAGTTATGTTCATTTGATAGTTCATTATTCTATTAATAATTGATGGAGTTCTTTGAGCCCCCATGCTATCATCATTCCCCTTTTGGGGTTTATATCAGTTATGTATAGTTGATCGTTTTTATTTATAATTGAAGGAGTTATTTGAGCTGTATTTGTAGTTTCATGTTATTAGATCACTCTATTTGTGAATTTTTCTTTTATTTTATTTTACATTTTTTACTAAATTACCTTCTATTCAGTTAAATAACCGCTAAAAATATTTGTGTACTCCTGCTCTGAATGGAATTTAAATCATAGTTTTAATATAGGGTTTCATTTTTGGGACATTGACTCATCTGTCACAATTTAAATACTATTGACCTCAATGTCACATAACACAAATTTTTTTTCAAAATATCAGGTCATCAAGGTCGCTGGTTATTGTAGCATCTTTTGTTTGGCCATGTGACGTGTTTATTGAGACTACAAAAGTCGTTAAATAGTGTAGAGACTTTTGTGATCAAAATGTCAACTTTTTTGACACGTGGTAGAGAGGTGAACCAAAGTCTCTGGATAGTGTAGAGACTATAGTGCAACCAAAGTCTCTGGATATAATGACCCTAAATGGTAAATCTTAATTAGAGATTTAATTTAAGGATTTAAATGTCATAATTAGATTCAGTGAGTGATTCCGAGTATTTTGACTGTAATCATGACTATGTTATGAACAGTGCGTTCTGTCGGAGAATTCGCAGTCTCGTGAATTAACCGGTAGAGCTTAAAGAAGCAAAATTATTTTAGAGACATAATTTGACAATTCTGACGATAAATATGAGTTCAGAATGAAAAATTGTATAGTCTGGCACTTTCCGTGAAAATCTCGTGAATAGTGTTTCTACCGGGTATTTTGTACTGCTATTTGAGCAACCAGTAGAGTCCAGAAATAAATAATTGATGAAATAAGAATAAGAAAGTCCAATATATGCCAAGCAAGTCAATATAGACCCAAGAAAATGATAAGTTTATAAGTTTCAAATTTTATAAATAAACAAAGTACAGTTAGTGGGTTTTTGTGCATTTCGTCAAAAACGGTGCAGAAACCACACTGCAAATTATGAATAGTGCTCCTTAGAAAATAAAAGTTAATGTAAATGACTTTAAAAAAATAAAAATATATTAGTATCTTTGAGTTAGATCCGGGTTAGTTTAAGTGAAATACGCGAGAGAAAAACATCCGATTAAAATAATGCCACATGGGCTTAAAAGAACCAAACCACTCATCTCTCATTACCCAAAAAGCATTTTCTCTCTCTTCTCACCCTCCCAAACCCGTGGCTGCTTGGAGATGGAGACCTAGGGTTTTCAAATTTTCTTTCCTTCCATTCTCACTCTTTTGGTCATCAAAAGGAATTATGCCTTACATGAAAGTTATGGGAAAAAGTCCAATGAAGCTATTCCAACCATCAATTTGAGTTTTTGTTGAGAGCTGGGTGAGTTTTCCCTCCTCCCAAATCTGAGTTACTATTCATCCCAAGGAAAAAAAAGTGGAGCTTCCATGGAGTTTTGCTTGAGAGAGGTCTCCTAGGCTTTGGGTAGTTGCTTTAAGGTAACAAAACTCTAACCCTATGACTTAGTCTTGTGATTTATGTTGTGAAAAATATTGTGAGCATATTTTGAGTGAGAAATAAAGTAGTTCACCACTTGGATTGATGATAGATTATGAAGGGGTGTTATATAGGAATGGAAGTAAGTATTTGTATATGTTTAAAATGGAAAAAAATCCACGGTGTGGGCTTCCTTTTAATTTCGGCCTTCATAAGATTATGAGGAAATGATGTATAAAATTGTAATCCATGTAGTTGGAAGGCTTCATGTGTTGAAATAAGTGGAAAATTGATGAATGAGTAAGAATACAAAAATAAGAAAAATATTAGGGTGTCATGCCTCTAGGCTAGGCCATAATGTGCCATTGAGGGGTCTATTGTTTAAAAAAAAATTTAATTGGACATAATGTATAAATATGCATGTAGGTGCAAGTTGCAAAATTAAGGAAAAGAAATGGAATGAAAAGAAAGAGCACCCTTGGCCTTTCCTTTAGGAATTCGGCCTTATAGGGTAAAAATAAGGAGAATTAGATTATGTCCTATTTTATTAAAGTGTTGAGTATCCAATGTATGAAATTAATAAGATTATATAGTGAAACGGTCTAGACTTGTGTATTGGCATAGGATTGGCAAAAATACAAAGAAATGAAAAGAAGCGGTAAAATGTATGCCTTATGTGAAAACTAGGCATGATGGCATTTTATTAATTGGTATTTGTGGATTCTTGCTCTAGGTGTACCTAGGGACTAAAAAGGAATCAGAATCTCTTGAAGATATATAAGTAACTTGAGCCACAAGTAAGCTGATTGTTAAAGCTTCAAGAGGTAAGCTCTATGTTTAAGGAGTCTTTTCCTGCTTGAGTGCTCCACCATGGTTAGTGAACTATGGTTGGACTGTATGACTGTTATTTAGATGCTTTGTATAGATGCATTCATATAGAGTTATTTGATAACATGATATGTCTTGCTCTGATATGACTTCTGTAATATGATTTCTGTAACAATCTCTGGCCATTGATTGTATAGTACCCGGACGTCCGCTTTGGGGTCCTCCCTCGGGACTGATGGTGTACGCCTCTGATATGTCTGGTTCCGCTTTGGGGTCCTCCCTCGGGAACACGTGCGTTGATTTCCGCTTGGGGTCCTCCCTTGGGAATGACGGCGTACATCTCTGATATGATATGGATATATGCTCTGTTCTGTTATGATATCTGTTATATGTTGTATTCGTATACTTTGTATCTGAATTTCATGCAGGAGTGAGCCAGGGGTATGGAGAATTCTCTATAAACCTGGAGCTTATTGAGATTTGTAATCTCACCCCTCTTTGGGGACACATTTTCAGGTGCCCAGATTCTCGGTGAGTCCTCACTAGGCAGGGACACGACACGTGGCTGAGGCAGTTGACAGATCGGATTTTGAGTGGCTGTAGGCTACTACCTTTTTGGAGTGTTTGATGTATTTTAGTATTTTCGCATTTGATGGATCATGATATTGATCCTTTATTTTGTATATGGCCTGTATATGTTTTGTACACGTCTGTCGCTTTGATGCATGTACATTTGGGTATTCAGGCACGTTATGTGATGAGGTAGTATTCAGATATGTTTACCTGTTGGATTGCATGCTGTTAGATATAGTGGCACTGAGCCAAGTTATGCATGCGCCCATGGATGGGCATTTGAGTATATTTGTATAAACTGTTTATCAGGAAATGCTTCTGTGTGGGATTGGAAAATCCCCAGTTGTCCAATTTATAGAGGAAACTCTGCCCGATTTTCGTTTACGACGAATGAGAATTTAAAAATAAAAAGAAAAAAGTTAGCTCGTATTTTCAGAAGTTAAGTCTTCCGCTGTTTTCTGTTTTATCATATGTATGTTAATTGAACCGGCTCGAGACGGGGATGTTACACTGGACAATGCAGACTGCAGACACTATAGTGCAACGATAGTATCTATACTTTTTTGCCCAGCTTAATTTATCAAACAACATCCTATACCAGTTTCATTTTATTTAAAAAATTATATGCAATTCCTAAATCTACATTTAAATTTATACGGTGCTTTAAAACAAATTTAAATTTATAAAAAAAAAATTGAGAAGGAGAATTTCAATGCTTCGAAAGATGATAAATAACCATCTCATCGTCTAAGATCAAAAGAATATTCAGTCTTTCTCAATATATTTCACACTCATTATATTAAATGTGGCTTGATTATACAATTGTACATGAAAATTTCAACTTTTGATTGCTCAAGAAGAATAAAGAGTGCACAAAATAGAAAATACGGTTCCAGTCTTTTTCAATAATTGCTTAAATAATGGTAATATTATAATGGTAAAATTGTTATGATAAAATATAACTACATACTACCCGTAATACATAATCTTTTTTACATAAGATAATTTTTTTCAACAACATAAAAAAATAATTTCCCTTTAATATATCTCTATTCAAACCTCGTTGCTTTTAATGTGTGTATAATATCAATATGTAATTGTTTTTATCAATATCGATCATAGATCTGGATATTCTCATTTTAAAAAAAAAATAACATGATCAAGTAGGAATCTGGATTCTCTCATATATAAAAAATATGATATGATCATGTGGAGAATCATAATCATATAAAAATAAATCAATGATATTAAAGTATGAGAAAAAAATATATTAAAATAAATAATTACAAAATCATAACCGATTATTCTTTTATATAATTATGACACATTGTCATATTTTTTTTCACAACAACGAGAGACAATCCATTTCCCAATACCATAGTCTTTCTACTCAATCGCCTCAGATTTGAAGTAAGCTTTTAATGCTTATATAACGTGTCAATATTATAACCATAATCAAGAACATGCATATAACTTATTACAGTTTACTTTACATCATATTTGGTTAACTCTGGCACAAAAGCCATGTAATCCTCTGCACTCAGTTGCTTGTGCATTCTTGTACCCATGAGATTCCTGGCTTTTCCTCCTAATGAAGATCATAGGTATATGCTGTGATTTTTTTTTAGGCTCTTTCGCTACATGTAGTTTGTGTATCAGCCACTACTTAATAGTTATTAGAATTACTTATACATTTATTTAAATTATTTCATTTAAAGACGAACACAATTTAAATTATTATTTTTTTGCAATTAAGAGATTATGCAGTTGATTTGTCTCTTTCCTTTAAGAGGATTAATTTTTATTTTTTAAGGAGTTGAGATATAGTGAACAATGACGAGTGTTTTTATTTTGGAGTGAAGGGATTAATGTTGCTTTTATATTGGGTGGGATCATGTTCTTTTACTTTGTGGGTGGACTGATTGAACAAATTTACTCTTTTAATCAAAATCTTTTACAACTTATATGAGAAAGATGATTTTTTTTTAGAAAAATAATATTTTGTGGATAGTAGATACCAATACCATGAGTCCAAACAGTGAAAAAGTTAGAAAAGCATAGTGCATGTGTATAAGTGCCTGTTTGGTTTAGATTCTTGGACCCTCAAGCAGACGTTGGCATTCAAAATAATTGAATATAGCACAATTGATTTCGTTTACTTCCAAATATACTGTAGCTAAGCATCTTTTCACTCCCTCTTGAATTGAGAGTGTGTGGAAATGAAACATAAATAAGAATCGCATTATCATTCAAAAGACACAACTTCTGGGTATACAAAATCGTGAACCTACCTGCATACTGTGCTGGGACACAGTTCAGTTTGCAAGAAACACACACTGGAAAGCAATGATAGCCATTTATATTTTAGATGTTGCCATGTGATGTGATGCTCTTAGCCTACTTGGTGACAGTGCATATCATATTCCAAGTGAGTATTGTATTCTGTTTTGAGTTTATTAGTCTTTTGAGAATGGACTTTCTTAGATACACTTAAAGCGCTCACTAGCATTAAGTTCAACCTTTACAACAACATTAGGCTAGAAAAGAACCTGTTGGACATGAAAATAATTAGAGAAGTACCGCAAATTAACTATCTATTTACAGAAGTAGGTGTATAAACTCTTTGTTTTGTTTATTGGAATAAAGTAGAAACTAATCTAGGAATCTGAATGCATGAACCATATAAATTCGGTGGTCCATGTGTAGAGTTGAAAAGATAAGAACAAACGAGTTAAACTGCTATTTAAGCTTTAAACCTTGAGAAAGCCAATGTGGCCCCTTTCTTTCCTGTGTAAAAGTCACAGTGGAACTGCTTATTGGGGTAGTGGGGTCACTGCATTCTCCTACTCTATCTGATTTGTGGGAGGTAGATGAATTGAGTTCCCTAGTTTTCCCACTGGGTGAGTCTGAGCATGCTAATTGAGGTAGATGAGAGTTTTTAACCTGGCTACCTCCTATACTTAGTGTCAAATCCACTTCCATTTCTTTATCAGAGCCACCAGAACTTATTTTACAACTCTGAAATGCAGTACAGGAGCTAGGCCCTGCCTCACCTTCATCAAAGCCACGCACTCTAATAAAAATGTCTTCCTCAGCAGGCTTTTCGAGATCAAAACCTCTTCTCATTTTGATTGTGTCTTCAGAGCAGCTTTCACTCCTTTCTATTGAGCTCATATCCTCTCTCAAACTTTTAATATTGAAATCATAGCCATATGAATTTTGTGTTGTTTGATGCTGCTGTTCAATGGCATGAGGATGCCTTACATCTATGACATTCGTGGGGTTCCAAAATTTCTGTTGTCTAATTCCGTTTTTGAGCTCATCCATCAGCTTCTTTTGCACACTGTATACCCGGTGTAGTTCTCTTACCTGCAAATTCCAAATTCTCATAATTGCTAACTAGTAAGAAAAAGATTCAAATTCTTGCAGATAACTATGTTCTTTCAACGGTGTTGACACTAATATGGTGGCTGCTTGGAATTATTGAACAATTGATGAAGTTCATACAATGATAAAAATATGGTCATGGATACGATGTCACAGAATGAAGGACTTCATGCAATAAATGATTCTGACACCAGTATGTTCAGTGTCCAAACATCATGATTGCATCTGCATTTTACATGCAAGATGTAATAATAATAATAAAGGGGACAGATCCGTTTACAAACTTTTTTGAATTTTTTTACAATTTACACTGTATTCTCCCAGGAGAACATAGTGTAGTTTGTAAAAGTTTGTATTCTCCCGGGAGAATATAGTGTAGTTTGTAAGAGTTTGTAAACAAAAAAGTTTGTAAATATAACCTGGCCCATAATAAAGTGGCCCTCCAAAGATAAAGAACAAACACAGAAATGTAAAGCCACTCCTTCAATCTGAAATGCTCACGAATTTGCAGTCAAAGAAGCCTACTAAGACACTTGACACATAATGTAACATTTGTGGCACCTATTGAATGGCAACCTGAATTTTGTATTTGTTAAGATGAGAAGTTCAATCATACCACATTTTCAGGATACCTGGTGTTTGAAGATGTCCTCATGCATCTGCATTGTCTTTTTGATGGATTCTATATTGTTTCTATCAAGCATCCTATCCATGGGACCTCCCAATTTATTGATTCCAATCCTGTGACAGTTATTGGTCAGCCCTTTGTTCTGATAATGCTCCCAGACATCCACACCGCCCACAGCTAAGTTGTTGCTGTCTACAAAGGTTGCTAGAAGATTTATGGAATATTCAATTTTGGTTCCCATGCCTGAAAAGAAAATAAATACCATTTGTTCCCACACCATGTAAGTGTAAAGTAATGCCTAAACAATTTAGAAAATTGCTTTTAATTGTGCAAATCCTTGAGAGAAGTAATGAATAAAACATATTGTTCCTTTCTCTGTTTTTTAAGCTAATTAATAGAGTTATGATCTGTGAAGGTGGGGACAAAATTCAGTTTGACCAAGGTTGGAGAGTTTGATTTAATATCTAAACAACAAAGATTAAGGGAACTCAGAATTCAGGAATTCTGGACATCCTAACTGGTAGGTAACCAAACTTGATGCCATAATCAATTCCATGCCAAGAAACTGAAAAGAAAATCCAACAGGATCAGTCATAATAAGCTGACATTATCCTGCAAGATTCTGTCGCTTACCTTTTTGGTGCACAGACGCAGGCAATATATAGGAAAGATTCTAGCTTGTTTTGTGAGATAATTTGTCAAAACATGGGCTTCCACTTTAGTAACCAAAGTGGAGAGAGAGGGGACCAAGATAATTTGCATTGAAATGTTCAAACGTGTAATCAAATATTGCCAGGACTGTGTAGCAGCATGTGTAACATGAACATTAGATGTAGCCTGTAGGCAATAGTGAAACCAACTAAGATTGTGGGTCTGTGATTGTGTGATGACAGCAGCACTAGGCACTAACCATAAGGCCCAGAAAAGTTCCACTTTCTCCTTGACTCTAATAAAGCTAGGCTCTTTTGAGCTATTCTAAAGACAACAACTTAACTTTATATCCGGTGAAGCCAAAATAGGGACTCAAGAAGAATTCAAGAAAATTCAAAGATTACACGCATCGCAGAGACATGAAGAGTTTACATGTCAAGCAATAGTGCAAGTCAACTTATTTTCTTTTATGTTATTCTTGAAACTTTTGATGTATCACTATGGATGGATAATTGATAATTTGATATCACTTCCATGGAAATTAAAACATAAAAAAGATGGCCTTCAATGTGATGAAATACTTGAGAAGCACTAAATCTCAGAACTGCAACACCTTCACAGGCCATATGTTTGGAGACTCCACATCAAGAAAATAAACTGTATTCATTAAGATATGGTACCCAATTTAAGATAATGGAAACATATCTGTGGGCTGTAGCTCTAATACCTGAAATAAGTACCAAAATTGCAGCTTTCTCTGATGATGGTCATTGAGCATCTTCCTCCCTCATGCCAACATTTTTACCCATAACTCAGCCTTAAAAATAAGACCAATATTACAAGTGGCCAATTATTTCATGATCCTCCTTGAATCATTTCTGAGACAAAGGAGGGATCAATCCAAACAGTGCACCAACTATGGAATCCGGAGAAAGCTCATAGACAGCATCAAATCTCTTAGAAGGTAAGAACCATTCAACCCTTTACTAAGAAACAACAAAGGAACCAGCTCAATTTTAAAACTGTAATCATGGGGTTAATAATTCAGGCTTGACAGGCTGTGAGGCAAGGAGGCAAGAGAAAATCTGGAGTAGCAATGTGTGTGTGTATGTGTGAGTGACTGTGTGATATTTAGAGAGAGAGAGAGAGAGAGAGAGAGATGTATGTTTATAATATGAATATTTTGTATTTGTAACATTTACTGTAATTGATTGTGTTTTTGTATATATTGTTGCTTCACTGTAACATGGGAAAGGATAGGAGAGAGGGGACCACAAAGTTGTATAATAAAAACAAATGACACTCCTAAACATGAGCCAATGTAGGCCAGTGAACAAGATATTCCAGACAAAGTCTTGCAAGACTTGATCAAGATATGCATGAGCAATGAAAGTTAGTGCTTCTTTACTATAGCACTATAATCTCTCTCTCTCTCTCTCTCTCTCTCTCTCTGAACTTTCTTGTTTTTGGAAATTCAACGATTGGGATTTGATTATTCTTTCCGTATATGCGGAACAATCCTTTGATGTGCTTGAGATTTCATCAGAATGCCAGTCTCAGGTGTTACTAGGATTCCATATAATGAATTTCATTTGACAGCAGTAAATTCCATGGGCTTGGAATTTTGAGATTGATAATGACTACTTCTGTCCTCATACACTGGAGGGTGATACAGATAATCACAATTTCTGTTTAGAGGTTCTCAAAAAAATTTGCTTTTATTTCGAATGAAAAGATTGGACTCTTATTTTCTAACAAAACCAAAAGAAAAAAAATGATCTTCCTATAATCTGCTATATATAAAACCTCAGGTTGGTTGTTATTAACTAATAACTGCAAGCAATTCAAATACAGCCCTCTGGGAAAAAAACAAAGTTTTTGCTTTCAATATCAAAATGATAAAGTGAATTCCAACCCATTTTGTATTTTCCCCATGAAGAAAAAGAATGAAATAATGCCTTGATTGAAAATGGAGAAGTCTTTGATAACTTTTATGTGTCTGCTCATAACGATATGTCCAATACCTTGAAAGATGTATATGTATGAACCAGAAACAGAAAGCATAGTCTAATGATGCATCCAATGGATGTTCCCACTTGTCCCCCATCTTCATTCTTTTGTAGTTTTCCTACTGCATTTTTCGTTAAAGATCTGTTATTCTTATCTTGTTTAAAAATTTATATTTTTTCCAAAAAAAAAAAACTTTATTTTATTAAGTAATAATATAAATGATCAACTTATCACAAGATTCACAACATAAGAATAAGACCTCTAGCATTCATTATTAGATGTTAATTTTAGTTGTAACTAAGGGTTCTAATTTACACCAATGTTAAACTTAGTGTAAATTATATTTTCATTCTTTATCATTAATTTTACTTGCATCTAATAGCTTACTTGATAAGAACAGAAGAAGAGAAACTTTCTCACCCATCACTTTCTCCCTAAAAGTCGAAGGGCAAGAAATACCATATACCTCCGTAGTGTTGGGACGGGGTCCCTCAATCAACACAGAAACGATTCGCAGGTTGACACGTCAAGCTCGCAACTCGGCACTTCAAGGTTAATCTGAAATTACCAGGTCGACTAAATCGCAGAAACAAAGAAAATGCCAGAAAAATGAGAGATGGAGAGTAAAACACAACAAATTTTAACATGAAAAACCTTCTCTAATGCAAAGAAGTAAAATCCACAGGATCTAGTTTAGAAAATTTTCCACTAAGAATAGTAGAGTTCTAAAAAAAATTAAACTTTCTTAATCACAATGGAGGTACGCTTAAACTTCACCGATAATGTTGGTTACAAGTTCTTCTTTAAAAAGGTTTCACACTCAAACTTCTCTTTAGAGGATTTTACATTCTCAAAATTGTCTCAACTTAGGTAACCTATTACAAAGGTTTCATATGTTTATAAATATGAAGAACGTTACACCTTCTTCTAGAATCTTCATCAATAATGAGATGAGCAGCATTCATTGAAGTGGTTGTTTAGACATTGAGTCATGTACCTACAAATGTGATGCATACTTAGTCACCAAACATTGAATGGTGGAACACACCCCATCACATAGACTTTACAAGCTTCCAAGACTCCAAAATTCAGATCCGGAAAAATCAGATCCACACACAAATATATGTTTATCCAATTAAGGATTCTGATCACCAAACAATGCATAGATTTTGCTATTTACAATATACTTTCATCATGTACGTGGGCATGGCTGTCTTTGTCTCTTACTTGTTTAGTTTTTGTCCAGATTGCCTTTAGTTTTATATGGTGTAGCCTTAAAGGCCACAATTGGTTAGGCAAATTGATGAACACGCATGACAATCTGTTGCTTCAATTAATATGACTTCTTCTTCTTCTTCTTTTTTTCCTACTGGGTACCTTTAATCACTTATAACGTAGCTTTAATTTTTTTATTTTTAAAGAAAGTTATAATTTCTATATATAAAAAATGTAGATTTAATTTTTATAATAACTGAAAATTACACATTTTTCTCAGAAATTACAATTCTATAAAAAGAATTGTACATGATTTAATACATTTTAAAATGTTTTATTAATATTTTTTGCAAAATTAGCCTAACTTATTTGGTTAACTTTTTAACTTAAATAAGCCCTTTCATTTTGATCAATAATAAGTATACGAGAAATCGCCTCATTTTATTTGCATCAACACCTTCAAAAGGATGAGAAACTTATAATCACAGTTTTGATGAAATTGCCTAAGGATGAAGAACCATGACATAACTATAGGGTCGGTCGAAATTATCATTTCACAGTATAATACATAAGAAAAATATTTCTATTTTTGTTATAGAAATATTTTTTCTGTCATACTCACATAAAGATAAATAAATCTTATTATGAAGAAATGAGAGAAAAAAATAATTAAATCCATTTATTTTTATGTGAGTGTGACAAAAAAATATTTATGCAACAAAAGAAAAAATGTTAAATCCTTAAAACATTGTCCATTCCTTGTTGCTCATATGCTTTATTGAAAAAATGCTAATTGGTACAAAAAGATTTTCGCATAATTTTTGCGAAAATAAAAGGGTAAGATAGTAATGGATAGTAAATGTAAGTAATTATTTTCTAAAAAAACTCAATCTTTTGACTACCACGTGTTTGTACGTATTTCCTAGTTCGTACCGAATTAAATAGCATCGCTTTCAAACTTCTATTCACCTTTCCTGGTGATTAATGAATCTATCTCATGAGATTACTTCAAGTCATTAAGATTATAGTGTGAACGAGTAACAACTTGATGCGTTAGGGATGGCTTAATTTGTTGGAGATAAAGTTTATTTAAAATGACATTATCTTTAAAATTAATAAATAATAGTACAATTATTCTTAAGTTCTAGTTTTGTAATTTATTTGTAATTAAATCAAAAATAAACACATTCTTATTTATTTATTTTAAAAATAAATTGATTTTAAAATACCGTGAACCCTCTCGTCACAAATGAGGCTGTCAAAGAAACACCACGACTAAAATACCAGAGAGAGAGAGAGAGAATTTTCAATTTTCTTGGAGAATGATGTTGTTACCTATGTGATTATATTGTCCGTTTTCGTTTACCAATATATATATATATATATATATATATATATATATATATATATATATATATATATATATATATATATTGTCCGTTTTCTAATAAAATTAATTACTTCATATTCTTTGCACACCAATAGACAGATATGTTACACGTACCAAACAACAACCAGTGGTGGACATAAAAGGTTGTCAAAATCAAAGATGAGATTTATATCCAGCTTCACCTAAAACGGTGTTTCTTTCTCTGCTGTCATGAGTTACTCTCAGCATGACGTACGGTAATCAAACCAAGTTCTCCCAGATATCACAATTATTTTAGTAGTTTGGTTAGGTCTATATGTTTTTGTTTTTTGGTTGAAATTCAGATCCACACACGACATGTGTGTGTGTGTGTGAATCACTTAACTTTATTGCCGAACTTTATTCCTACACAGAACTCCTATTCATGATGTTTTCATTGAACAACCGAATGGCCTACCCATAAATAACCCGAACCACCTTTTTCTTGGCTATTTTCAAAATTACAGGTAAACCCTTTTTGGGCTTTGAAGATAAACTCAGAGACGGGGGTTGGGGGACAAATATATATATAATTATATACGTCTGAAGGTACGCATGATTAAAGAACAGTCCTAGACTTCAACTTGCAGTACCTTCATATTGGGTCAGGAAAGGCACGCGTTGTAGCCTAACAAAGGCACACGGCGTAAGAAAGTAGACCCACCAACCACTACTCATCTATGCTTTTTTTAATTTAGTTTGATTTAAGGTAGATTATTCTTATACTAAGAAATATTACACTTATTTTTATGAGATAGGATATTTTTATTATTAAGTTTTTATATTATTATTTTATTATTACTCTAATCATCATTAAATTCAAAAATTACTTTTCTTTTCCTTGTGTCTTCATTCAACTTTTTCTCTAATCCAATGATGATTAGAGTGATAATAGAAAAAATCGATAATGAGAATATCCGACCTCATTTTTTATTATGAATTCATTTATAATTAATTCTTCATATAAATAAAATTTTAAAATTGTTAATCCTCAAAGTTAGCACAGTTGGCAATTGAGCTCCTTTGAATTTGTTTGGGCTAGAGATTTAAACTCTACTTAAGCAAATTCTTGAAAAAAAAATTGAGGACTAGAGGACGTGTCTCTTCTCGAATGGGAAAGATTAGTCTCATCTTTTCTTCGGTGACGAATCTCAATGCACTCATTATTCTAATGAGGTGATAGCCTTCGGAGCCGTATTCCGTGGACAAGGTGATCGGAAGAGATTGAATGGAGATACCTCCAAGTTATACCAAAAAAAAAAATTAAAATGTTAAATATGTATAAGATCAACTGTGAAATTTAAAAATATGAGTTGTACTAATATAAAATGATCATAAAGTTGTTCAATTTTACTAGCTTAACTCTAGTACGGACTAAGTAATAATAGTACCGACACTCCTTTTATTTATCAAATAATTAAGTTTATCAATCATGATCATCCAAACCCATAACAGATTCTTTTCTCATGCTAAATCCAAACAACTACGTAGTTACTCGTCACACAAGCCTTCTCATCCCCTTGTTGCTACTTTGTTCTCTTGTTTTTTCTTTTAGTGGCTTCTGTCTATATTCGCGATTCGTAATAGCTTCAAGTCTTGTCAGTTTCTAAAAATAACACTTAAATAATGAACCATTAGAGAC